TAAATATATAATTATTATAATAAATAAATAATATTATGCAAGAAATTAAATATATACCCCTAAATCTTAAAATAATAAAACTTTTTATATTTATAAATAAATTATTTATAAATAACCAGAACTTAATATTTTAACTTAAATATATTATTATTCTTATAAATAAAACTTATAAGGAAATTAAGGGATTTATAATAATAAGTAATATTTTTTATTAATTATTAATAAAGTATAAATATATTACTTAAAGCATATTAATAAGCAAAATTTATAATATAGTAAATAAAGTAAATATTAAAATTTCCCTAGCTATAATAATTAAAATAACTATAAAATAACTTTTATTACTAAATATACCTTTAATTATTTATATAAACTTATATAGCCTATATAAATACCTTATAAAGCTAAGAATAATAAAGAAAAAGCACCTTATAATTAATATTATATTATTATAAAAATTATATAAAATAAGAAAGATTATTAAAATAAAGTAAATAAATAGGAAAAATAACCCTATTAATATAATAATAAAACTAACTTTAAATACTATATTATAAAAGCTTATTAATAATAATAAGCTTTGCATATAAATAAATAAATTAATTAAGAAACCTAAAGTAGTTTCTTCTTGCTAAGAAAGAAGCAACTTATTGCTAATACCTTTTCCTTTTAACCTTACTACTATTAACTGCAAAACCTTATACCTTTTAAACTTAAACCTTTAATATAAACTTTAACCTTTTATATTTTAATTAAAACCTTTTTAATATCTTATTATATATAAGAATAACCTTATAATTATTAATATTATTAATAATTATTATTTTAAAATTAACCTTATTATTATTATTACTTTTTACTATTATTTATTAATAATAATATTAAAATTAACTTTCATTAAATTTATTTATAACTTATTAACTTCTTTTATAATTAAAAAATAAATTAATAATTATTATATAATAATTATAAAGTTTTATATTATAAATATTTATTTTAATTACTAAATTCCTATAAAATCTTTTTCCTTTTTATTATAATAAAAAATATTAATAATAACTTATAAGAATTATTTAATACTTTTATTAATATACTTTATAAGAATAATAATAATAAGCAAAATTATTTAATAAACATTATATTTACTTTTTACGCTAAGGATATACCTAGTATAATTATTGCTATGGCTATTATTAATATAGCTAGCATTAAAAGTAGCCCTATTATAACCCTTAACTAAAATTAAAATTCCCTTATAAATATCATAATTATAATCCTAATTAATAAAATAAGCTTTGCAACTATAACCTTAATTAATAAGATAAACATTGCAATTATAACCTTAATTAATAAAATAAATATTATAATTACATTCCTATTAAGCAATAAGATAAAGATTAAAATTATTATTAAGGTTATAAAAAGAGCTAAAATCGCCTTAATTAATAAAAATAAAAATAAGCTTATTAATCTTATTAATTCTTATGGCAAGGTTATTATTAATAATGCTTATTTAATAAATATTAATAAAGATATTAATAATAATAACTCTTATTTACTTACTTATTTAATAAATATTAATAAGGATATTAATAATAATAACTCTTATTTACTTAATATTAATAATAATTTAATTATTATTAATAATAAAAATAATTAAAACTAAGCTAATAAAACTTTAATAAAGATTATAAAAACCGCCTTTAACTTTACTTTTATATTAAGCATTAAAAAAAGCAAGCTACTTATTAAAATAAATTTTTAAGGAATTATTAAAATTAATAAGCTAAAGGTTATAATTATAGCTTAAGCTAAGATATTTTTCCTAAATAACGTTATTATAATAATTATTATTTAAATTATTAATAACTTTTAATATTAAAATAAGCAAATATCTTTTAATAATATAATTAAAAAGTTATACATTTATATTAAGAGCATTAAAACTCTTAATATAAAATTGCATAGCATTTTTAATAATAAGAATTATTAAAGTAATTATTATTTTAAATATTAAATCATTATAATTTTTATAATAAACAACTTAATAAAAGTTTTAATCTTAAATATCTTTTATATATATTAAATTAAAAAGATTTAGCTATTAAAGGATTAAATTATTATGCTAACTTAACTTTAAAACTTTTTATATTAAATTATTAATAAATATATATAAGGCCTATATATAAAGGAATTTATTAAGAAATATATATTACTATTTAAATAACTTAAGCAAAAGATAATTATTAAGAAAATTAAAAAAAATAATAAAAAGCAAAAAAAGGAAATAATAAATAATTAAGCTGCTTATAATGCTTAATTTTAAGAAAATAAAAAGTAGCTAAAGGAAATTAATTTAAAGTAATATTAAATGCATTTTAATAATAAGAATAAGGATAAAGATAATAATATTTATATTATAAAGATATGTAATAAAAATAAATATAAGTTAAAGGATTTAATACTAGCTTTATAAGCATTAACTTTCCCTGCAAAGAAAAGATTTAAAATTAAGGCTATTATATAAAAGTTAATAATCTTTATAAAAAAGCAACCCTAATAGCTAAATATTAAGGATAATAAATATAATATTTAAAGAATAATATAATAATAATAATTATAAATCTAAAGGGTAATATAATAATAAAGATTGCTAAGACTTGCTTTAAAACTTATAAGTTATAATTTTAAGCCTTTTTAGCAATGCTTTCTTATAATAAAAATTATATATACTTAATATGCAATAAATTATAATTTTAAAGCTAATTATAATAAGGATTATTAATTATAATAAGAATTATATATACTTATTAAAAAAAGAAAAAAACTGCAAGTATTAGTAAGTACAACCCTTATACTTAAAAGGTTACTTTAATTATCCCCTTTAGGGCATATAGCCTCTTAGAACTTAGACAGAATAATAATAATATATAATTGCTTCCTATATGATTATCGTACGTATGAGAGACCTACCAACAGTTAGGTTTAAGGCGCAAGATAACTTGTGCTGTCAGCCTATTTCCAAGACCCAGAGTACGCAAACCGCCAGACGGGCGGCCCGGCATGACTCGATGAAAAGCTACGAGACCCGAGACAGATAAATCCCTCAGAACAGAGCGGTCCGTGGACGAACTCGTCGTCTGCTTTTATGGTCTTCGGTGCGGCATGGGGGTCAGGTGCTGCGGTTGTGAAGGGTGGCCGTCTTGCCGTAGGCCGCCGCAGGCCGTCGTAAGCACGAACGCAGACCTTCGACTTTGCAGTCAGTCTGTAAAACTGAGACGGGGCCCATTTCACCACCCAGAAATGTGCAGATGCGCCTGTTTGCACTGCGCGATTGAATTGGCGACCAGGATGGGGCCCAAGGCCAACATGTCATGAAATATAACATTTGACGGAATTGGCCGACTTTCCCGTCTTAAAGACCCTCTTCTGTGCGTCGGGCTCAATTAGAAAAACATATACAAAGACACAGTCCTCAGCAACTCCGTGAATCTTATTATCTGTCGTAAGGAATCATGGTGTGAAGAAGTTCCACAAGCTGGCCAAAGTCTCTCAAGAGTCGCAGAGCACACATGCACACAACACAGCTGTCAAGTGCGACAGTCCTCAGCGGGGACGCCGACGCTTGAAGGGGCATTCATATCTTATATTTCCGATAATAGATATTGTCAGCCAATGGTATGTCCAGCAGCCCTAGAATAAATCTTGCGAGATGACTGTTGGTCCTTCAGGTCGATTTTGCACACCTAGATAATCATTGCTATTTATGGTTTGAGGCCCACTACCAGATACTCTCATTTGCAATCAAACGTATTAAAATGGCGCTAATGGTCTGCATCTAATACCTCGCACCTTTTTTATACGCACTTTTTAATTTAGCTTTAATTTATTTAATATATATATAAGAAGAAAGCTATTTCTTTTCTAATTTTATTCCTTCTTTTTATTATAAAATTAAGTATATAAAGGAAAAGAAATTTATATTTAAATTAAAGTTAAAAATAACTTAAGTTAAAGCTAAATTTAAAGGAAATAAAATTAAAAAGTTATATTAAAGTTACTAAGGTACCCAAGGTAAATTTAATTATTTTTATTTAAAATCATTATATATTTTAAGATTTTAAATTTTCTTTAAAATTAAATATTAACACATGGTTACACACCTTATACACTTAATATTTCCTCCATTCTCCTTAAACAAATATTAAAAGAATTAAAAAAGAAGCAGCTATTATTTTATGTAGAGTATAATTAAACTAAGAAGGTATTTATTATATAGGAGGTGAAAATATATAAAAAACGAAGTGAGTATGGTTTTTGATGCGAGGTGTTAGATGCAGACCACTAGCGCCATTTTGATACGTTTGATTGCAAATGAGAGTAGCAACAGCCCCAACGAGACTGATGAGGCACGCACCTTTCTGGCCGCGATTTCATTTGTGCACAGAGTATAGTGCTGTAAACGGCTGAACGCTTACATAGCCACCACCCTGCTTGTAATCACCAGTGGCGTCTCTGCACCCAATAATAACACACAGCCTCTTGGCTTTCAATTAAGGTTTTGGAGAACCTGCGTCAAAGCTAGGCCAGAAGGAGATGAAGAGCGAGGCACACACCCTCCCGAAAGCGTCGAAACACTCTCGGCCGATCTCCCAACTCTGCCGCGCTCTTGGCATCGGCCACCTGGACCAAGCAACACAAAGAAAGTGCGCCCTGAGCCTTTTTATTATGGGCCGGGCCACATCGTAAACGGGGCGGAATGGCGGTACTTGAAACGCCGAAGGGCACGTTGGTTCCCGACCTCCAACGTTGCCTCAGCGAGCGGGTGCTCGTCCCGCCTGAGGATGGAATCTCTCTCATGATCGTTGCTGTCCTCTCTTTGCCTATGAGCCCTCCTCTCAGTGCATCTCTGTCCGTTCCCTGAAACCATCCTTCCCCCGTCACCGTTCCCTTTGACGGGCGAAACAAGATATATAGCCCACACACAACTTTAATAAACAATGTACCCCCCAGCGCCCTACAAGGCGAGGAAGAAGCGCAACTCAGGGCCCTCCCTGACGCGCTCCCCCTTCGCCGCCTTCGGCCGGGGCCGCCGGGCCCGCCTCGGCAGGAAGGATGTGGCACTGACCCTGCTGGGCGTCTTCCTCGTGTATTTGGTGTACACCTCCTGGGGGCCGGGTTCCCGCCGGGAGCCCGAGTCGGCCCGCCTGGAGCGGCTCATGAACGACGAGGCCTCGGCCCGCCGCGTCTGGGACGTCACGAGCAGCTTCGACTGGGCCGCCATCAAGTTCAAGTACCCGCCGCCAAGCGACCCGGCTCCGCTGCCCACGGGCCCGGAGGTTAAGAAGGGCAAGAAGAAGGGCTCTGTCCTCCCGCCCGTGCAGCACCGGTTCCCGCCCGAGACGGCGGCGGCGGCGGCGGTGCGCGAGGCCAGGCGGGACGAGGTGCGCGCCGTGTTCCAGAAGAGCTGGCGCAGCTACCGGCGGTTCGCGTGGATGCAGGATGCGCTGCTGCCCGTGTCGGGCGGGGGCCGCGACCAGTTCTCCGGGTGGGCGGCGACGCTGGTCGACGCGCTGGACACGCTGTGGATCATGGGCATGCGGGAGGAGTTTGACGAGGCGGTGGACGCCGTGGCGCGCAGTAAGCAGCCCCCCGGGACTCGGCTTTGACCTTGCTACCTTTCCAAGGGAGTGGGTGAGGCGTCTGCCGTGTTCGTGGCCTGTCCGTGACTTGTCCCAAGGCCCTTTGTGAAGCTGAAGGTTTCGAGACAGGCCACGAGCAGAGAATATCCTTCTCCTCCACCTGCCCCCCTCATCATACACATCCTCTGCCCCCAGATCCCCTATAGCTAACCCAGTGATGCCGCAGTCGACTTCGGGCAGTCCACCAACCCGCGAGTCAACATGTTCGAGACCAACATCCGCTACCTGGGCGGCCTGATGGCGGCGTACGACCTCAGCGGGCGCAGCGTGCTGCTCGCCAAGGCGGTCGAGCTGGGCGACATGCTCTTCGCCGGGTTCAACACCGCCTCGCGCATGCCCGTCGACTTCTTCGACATGGGCCAGAGCCAGTCGGGCGAGGGCCTGCAGGTCGAGGGCGGCGTCGTGTCCGCGTCCCCGGGGACCCTGCTGCTCGAGTTCACGCGCCTGACGCAGCTCACTGGTGACCCAAAGTACTACGGCGCCATCGCGCCCATCGCGGACCTCTTCCACGCGGGCCAGAACCAGACGAACATCCCCGGCGTGTGGCCGCAGTGGGTGTCGATGAGCGCCCCCGACGTCGTCTCGGGCTACTTCTTCTCGCTCGGCAGCGGCGCCGACTCGCTGTTCGAGTACACCATCAAGATGCACGTGCTGCTCGGGGGCCACGAGCAAAAGTACGCCACCATGTCGGCCGGCTGGATGGACGCGGGGAACGAGCACATGCTCTTCCGGCCCATGCTCCCGGACGGCGCCGACGTCCTCCTCGCCGCCAACGCCAACGCGCCCCAGCGCGGGCAGGTCACCCTCGACACGGAGAGCGAGCACCTCGCGTGCTTCCTGGGCGGCACCTACGCGCTGGGCGGGCGCGTCCTGGAGAACCGGGCCCACCTCGTCGACGTCGGCGCGAGGCTCGCAAGGGGCTGCGCGTGGGCCTACCGCGTCATGCCGACGGGCATGATGCCGGAGCGGTTCCGCGCGGTGCCGTGCGAGTCGCGCGAGACGTGCCCCTGGTCGCAGCGCCGCTGGGAGGAGGAGCGCGCCGCGCGGCTCGACCGCGAGGACCACCTGCCCCTCGGGGTCGTCTCGGCCAAGGACAAGCGCTACATCCTGCGGCCCGAGGCCATCGAGAGCCTGTTTGTTCTGTGGCGCGTCACGGGCCGCACCGAGTTCCAGGAGGCCGCGTGGGACATGTTCAGGGCCGTCGCCAACGGCACCGAGACCGAGTACGCCAACGCGGCGGTGATGGATGTCACGCGCGCAGAGTACCCTCTTGAGAAGGAGGATTATATGGAGGTGAGTGAACCAGGCCCGATGGTGATGTGAAATGCTTTTCTTGGGCCTGCTGGCTGACTTTTCGTGAAGAGCTTCTGGCTCGCCGAGACGCTCAAGTACTTTTACCTGGCGCTGTCGCCGCCGGACTTGATCAGCCTCGATGACTTTGTCCTCAACACGGAGGCACACCCCTTCAGGAGGCCGACATGAGCATGGTTTGTTTGTGACAGAGAGATGAATGCTTGCATAAACAGGAGTCCGGCGTAAAAGTTTTGGGTTAGAATGTACTCGTGCATCAAGTCTTCCATATGGAACAGAGTTCTTTATCAAATTCAGCGTCTTGCATCGAGCAATGTGTGCGTGCCGCTAAAATGATGCAAACATATGAAAGCACCCTTGAGCCAGCGGTCAGTGTCAAGAAAGCCGGCTTCGTCAGACATGGCCGTTTCCACCGATCCCAGAAGCCGTGCTCTCTTCACTTCCTGGAGGCATCAGACCGATGTAATGGTCAAGAGTCTATTAACAGTAACAATTGTAACGACCTCGCGCCTTAAATATACATCCTGGCTCATAATGTCATGTAGTCAGGTCAAAAGAATCGCTGCCATCACAAGAGAGCATGCCACACTCGCGCTCTCATGCTGCGCCGTCCGTCTATATACAAGTAGCCATCTTAAAAATGTTGAGCCTGCCAAAAGGACCAAAATGCACTACGAGGCCCAGTCGGCCCTAATAAATTCAATCTTTACCCACCCAGTGTTTAATCCAAGGAGTTATGAAGCGGTAGACTGACTCCCTTCATCACTAAGCACCACCTCCAGCAGCAGCCGCCCTCGCAGCCTCCACTTCCCTCTGCAGGGCATCGAGGTCCGCCAGCATCGCCTGGACAGCTTCGTCCGTCGCGGTAGCGTCGGCTGCCTCCATCTCCTCGGCCACGGGCGGCACGTTCCCGGCGATGCTGTCCCCCGACACTTTCCTCACACTTTCCATGCTGGTCCTCTTGGGCTCCAGCGCCGAGCCCTCCATGCTGCCGCGGCTACTGCCCCTTTTCCTCGGGGGCGGAGGTGGCGGCACGACGCCCTCGCGGCCGCTCTTCCGCGCGGGTGGCTCGGCGGAGCTGGACGACGTTGGTCTATTGGGCAAGAGGGCGGCACTCTTGCGGTGAGATGAGTTCCGTTGTGGCGGCGGGGGCGGGGATATTTTGGACACGCCTGGGTGTTGTTGGGGTGTGAGAGACGTGGTTGACCCCGTCGTGGCACTACTTGTATCGGTAGCAAGGTGGGATGGGACATGTGTGAAGCCTGGCACTTCACCAGTAGGACTCAGAGGTCCAGCTGGCAATGGAAAGGCTGATGGTTGAGTGGTTGTAACAGGGCTAGAGACAGACGGCGATGACCGATGACCTGCTGGCCGCCTCGGCGGAGGTGGCACTGGAGCCGCGGTGCTCAGTCGTATGCTAGACGATCGTGACCTAACCGACTCCATCGAAGAGCGAGAGGGCGTGGCCGGTTCTTCCGGCAGCTCAGCCTGTGTTTTACTCTCGGTCCTGCCGTGCGCCCCTCTCGGCGGGGGCGGGGCGGGCTTCCTCAGCGTCGACGTGGGGTTTTGCACAGGGGTAGAGGAAGAGTGCGACATGTTTGGTGGGGTGGGTGGTCGCGGCGACGGCACAACATCTGCTTCAGGGTCGATATCGACCTCGGGCACCTTGCCTGCGGCTTCCTTGTCAAATATGCTCTCCTTAGGGTCATATTCAGACCGCGCTGGAGGCGCAGGAAGGGGCTTGTTGACGTCCGTGGGACTGAGTGACGCCCTTCGACCGGACGATGTATCAGCCAATCCTCCAGAGGTCCGGCGCTCTAATGCTTGTGGCCGGTCCTGGCCGACCGGTCCGACCTTGATAGACTTTCCGTGTCTTGTTGCCGGAGGAGGAGGTGGCAGCTTCTTCCGTGCGCCGGATGGCTTGGGTTGGGGCGGGCTTATCAGGCCACGCTTTTCGTCGTCGCCTTCTGGCTCGGAGATCTCGTGCGACGTCCGTGGTGATTCTTGTGATTGTTGTTCTCAAAGATGGACTGTCGTGAGATCGACGAGGCATCCGTCATGCTCCCTCCATCACCAGCCATGCCTGCGGGGTGCAGAGTGGCCGAGCCTGTCGAGCCGGCAGCTCCGGGTGCGGGCCCCTGCCCCGTCAGCAGTAGCTTCTTGAATGCCTCAACGTCCAGACCTTTCCCTGCCGGTGAGGCATGCTCTGCTGAAGTCGGCCCGCCGTCCCGTGCAGCTTGCTCCATGTCCTCCAATGTCTTCTGGAAAGGGTTGGGAGGCGGCCCACGGCCGGTATGGGGCTGCGGCTGGGGTGCCTCTAACCTTTGCATCGGCGCCAGGACATCTTCGGGGAGGGGCGGCGCCTCGTTCTGGAAGGGGTCTTCTTCCTCGCCATTGATCGACGGGGAGCTGGCACTGCTGCTGTCGCCGTCGTCTCGTGGGGGTAGCGGGTACTTGGGGTACGAGCGTTCGGCGCTGGCTGACTCGGGACTCGACGGCGGAGGGCTCTGCACCCTGACTTTCTTGACGGGCTTTTTCTTCTGGAAGGAAGTGACGGGCGGAGGAGCATCGCTCTTGGGAAGCAAGTCCAAAGATCTCGCAAAGTCGTTGCCGCTTGGACGATGTGGTGCCTGCGGCCTTGAGAGATCGTCGGCGGCGTAAGCGGGAGCTCGTGTGTCTGCGTGTAATACGGAGGACGAAGAAGGCGGGGCAGCTCCAGCTCCGGGCCCAGCTCCAAGTTGAGCTTGAGCTCCAGCGCCTGGGGAGGCGGCTGTCTTGCGACGGAAGGGATTGTGGGAGCCGAAGCCCGACTCAGAAGCCATGGCGGCCGTTGTTTATTCAAGCTGGGAGTCTTGTCATGTCACGGAGGTGTTGTAGCATCGTCAGGGCCGCAAGTGGTGGTGAGGCTCGTGGGGGTTCGTTTTTGGGGGGCGGATGCAACGGGATCGGATCAAGGCTGCCAAGCCTGGCTGCAGGTGGTGCACCGAGACAGATTTAGGGGCGGATAGTTGGGGTTGATCCCACGGCAGGTTGTCGGCTGGAGCTGTGGGTTGATGGGTCTGATGGACGTATTGATTGATTGATTGTCTTCAAGCAGGTATACAGGTTGCGTGATTAGTGCCGTGCCGTGCGATGTCGTGTCATGGGGTGTCGCGGGATGTGCTGTGCTGTGCTGCGCAGACGAAGTGAGTGAGTGAGTCGGCAGGTTGTGAGGTCTGAGTTACAGTTACACAGCGACAGTCACCGTTGGTCAACGTCTCCCCATCGGTAACCGTCCCGTGCTATGGCGCGCCCGTCAGCCCCGTCTGCCCGTCTCGTACCGCAGCAGGGGTCAGGCAAGATAAGATCGTCCTCTCCTATCGGCGCTGCACGGGCCATTGCGTCAACGGTGGGCCAGGTTGGGCCCAGCCTGCCAGCCCAATCAGTCAGTCATCCAGTCTCATTGTCCGTCCAAGCTGCAGGCGACCCAGTAAGTCACCGTGAGTTGAGCTTGAGCTCCCAAGGTTTACCACCGTAACAAGAACTTGCTCTCAGAGCCTGATCTTCACATGTCTGACGTGCCGTCTCCATCTTTTCTAATGATACTACCCGAGAAGATGGAAGTCTTATTCCATCTCAGTTGAACAGTTCCCATTCATTACCAAAGACACACAAACTGGCACAAGGAGTACCCGAGTACCTGACCAGCGGGATACTGCAGAGAAAGCTGTGAAAGTGAGTGAGCTGGCTGGCCGTCCATCAGCCTCAAGTGGGTCGAAACGTCATGGTCCAACGGGCAGGGAGCCAGCCAGACCAGCACACCCCTCGTTCATTCCCGCCCGCCCGCTGCCCGCTCCGTTTCAATTGTCAACGATGCGTCTCGCTGCATGAGGGGCGCCATCTCGGGAGGGTCTGAAACATGACGTGCAACAAGATGACTTGCGTAATATGGCCTTGGGGAAAATAGCACGACTTGGTATTGATTAATCCAAAAGATGGAAAAATTCAAGCAACCGAGTGCACAACAGATCAATCCAATGTTGTCTCCGGTCTGAAAATAGCCACAGCCATGGACGGACAGATAGCCTTGGAAACCCTCAGGTCGGGAGGCGATGGGCAAACGTTTCAACACGCCGGCGGCCGAACCTGCTCGCCAGCCCGGATGCATCGCCCTGGGGTTGAAGGCATCAACTGTCTGCATGGAACATATTATCGTTTTATTCAAGAACACACTAGGTATCTCTGACAATTCAAGTTATTAGAGTCCTACCGGAATTTTCCAGAAGCGACCGCGAAGAGCTAAGAAATCTCTGGCACGTGAGGCCTGCAGCAGAGAAGTAAACAAACCCAGCCCCCTGCACCACGCGTCGCGCCACACTCTGGAAACTGAGGGAGACCCATCTTCCCAACAAACTGGACACGCACACCACTCTCACTCACTCACTCACCCACACAAAACCACTGCCGCCTAAGCAACGAAACAGCTGTCATGAACTTAACCGAACCTGCAATTGCAACACCAGCAAGACTCGTTGGTATAAAATTACAGATGCCCATCCCTTTATCAGCCCCTTCCTTCCGTAACCCGTCTGCTTTGCTGTTGGGCCTCACCGTACCATCTCGGCCGCGCCGAGCGCAGTGACGCGACACGAACCGCAGCCCCACAAGCCGAGACAGGCCATGGGCTTCGGCCCCTCGTAAATACACTCGTTGGTGGCCCGCGACCTTGGAATGCGCACGCCTTCGCCGACCCAAGCAAGATACACTGAACGTAGACCCTTTGATGAACCCACAATCCTGTTTCCCCCAAACGCCAATGGAACCGCCCTACACGCGTGGAACAATAAACTCAAAGTGTGCGCTAGAAGATGGCAGAGAGCCTTCATTCTAACCCAGTCTATGCCGTGGAGGCGGCAGCAGTGGAGGCAGCCGCCTTCTTGGGCGTCTTCTCCTTCTTGGGAGCCGCGGCCTTCTTGGTGGCGGCAGCCTTGGCCGCGGGCTTGGTGGTGGTCTTTGCGACACGGCCAGACTTGGTCTTGGTAAGAGTAGCTGGCTTGTCGACGACCGCCGGGGCAGCAGCCTATTGTTGTCTGTCAGTCGGCCGGATTCACTCATCGCGATGGCGAGTCAGGTTAGGCACTCACATCAGCCTTCTTCTTGGGCGCAGCCTTCTTGGGGGCAGCGGTGGAAGCAGCCTTCTTGGGAGCGGCCTTCTTGGTGGCAGCGCCCTCCTTCTTGGCGGCAGGCTTCTTGGCCGTGGCCTTCTTGGCGGTCTCCTTCTTCTCAGCAGCAGGCTTCTTCTCCTTTGGGAGCAGCCTCCTTCTTGACGGGGGCACTCTTCTTGGCCAGCTTGGTACCACCGGATGCACCTAGAGGATGGTGTTAGATGGGTGAAGGATGATGCGACGAAATTTTCATGACAGACGTGAACGACATTGTTCAATAGGGCAAGGAGTGAGGGGGGGTGGTGAGGTGAGGCTTGAGCATCATGAGGCAAGTGCTTACCCTTGGGCTGGACGAAGACACCCTTGTCGACACCGGCCTTGAGGGCACGGTTGAAGAGCGAGTCGAACATGGAGTCGGTCTGGGCCTGAATGTTGTTGTTGGCCTTCACGTACTTCTTGAGGCTCTGTCGGCTGTGGGGAGAATGTTAGCGTTGGTTCTGTCTCACATCGAGGCCGAGTCACGATGGCCTCATGCACCAAATGCGGGGCATGAAACACACGAGGGCCAAGTTGGGGTAAAGCTGGCTCACCTGGATCCATTGCGGTCCTTAAGCTGTAGATTGAAATGACGCGTCAGTAAAATGAAAATGAAGACACGGTAGAGTAGGCGTGAAGCTGTGGTGGCTGCCTTGGGTTGCTGCCCTGACGCATCGTGGTGCAGCATCAGAGGCGTGACAGCCAACACACAGGTGAACCGCGTGATGCGCCGGAGAGGATGGGTTGGAGAGTCATACTTGAGTGATGGCCTCAGCGATCATGTCCTGTAGCATGTTAGATGATGGTGCACTTCAACAACAGCCGACGCGAAGGCGACAAACCTGGTAGGTAGGGTGAGAGGCGGGAGCCTTGGCCTTGGTGGCACCTTCGGTCTTCTTGGGAGGCATTTTGGTAGATTGGGATTTGGGATGGACTGGTTGGATTGATTGTGTTGATGACCGGAGTCGAGATGGAGGGAATTGGCGACAGGATGGACGGTGGCCGAATTGATGTTGTCTACGGAAGATGCGCGTGGGTTGGATGGGGAGAGAGAGAGGAAGAGATCGGAGGGGACGGGGCGGAAGGAGGGAGCGGTCGTGGTGGGCGCCTGTGTTTATATACGAGAGCGGGGCGAACGGGTCGAGGATGCACAATCAGTAAACCGCAATGCACGCACACGCACACGCCCACGCCCGCGCCTAGGCCACGCTTCCTGCTCCCTCCGCCCTCCACCCTCCCTCCCCCTTCCCCCTTCCCCCCAGGAAAAATACCCAGTCTAATACCTAATGAAGTATCCAGACAGCTCAGGGAGCTTGGAGCTTGGGAGCTCCGGGGATGAGCTGCCCAACCATCAATTATCCAATCCATTCCACCTCCCCTCCGTCTGTCTTCCTTTTTCCTCCTCTTCCTCCTGCTAGTGCCACCCGAAACCTTACCTTGCCTTGGATCCGAGCCAGTCTGCCTATTTGTCTGTCTGTCAACCTTGTTGACTTGCCTCTCGTCTCGTCTCGTCTCGTCTTGTCCTGTCTTATTCTGTCCGGTCCTGTGCATCATGCCTTATTCTTTTTTAGTATTCCGCTGGCCCCCAACACCGACCTCCTGCCCTCCCTCCTTCGTCGTTACCGTGACTATCACCGTGCACAGTCGAGCTTCCTGGCTCATACCTTGTTTCGTCTCGCAGTTTGCAGTCTGCAGTTTACACCAGCCTCTGCCCGTGGCTGGCCATTTCACCCACACGCAACGCACATCTTCACCCACTCGGCCCCCATCCAAGCTCGCATCCCACTGCCGTGCAGGTGCAGCACGTGAGCTTGAGCTTGGCTTTGGGGGGGCTGGTCTGGGCCGGGCTGCGCAGTCGAGCTGCCAGCTTATTATATGTTCACACACCACACAAGCATTCGTCCTCCACGACAGGAACCGAGATGGGATTCACACGGGCAGGTTTTCCCTTTCCCCACCCCACGTGTGTCATGGAACCTGCAACAAGTGCTGCATGAGACAGGCGTGGCATAGTGATGGGATTTATTCACGTTTACCATATATCCCCAGCGTAGGTACGGTAATTATTTCTGCGTTGTGCCGCTGTTTCAAATGGTCATTTCGAAGCTTGCTGAGCAGGACCCTGAGTCTTGTTCTCGATATGGGCCCCGAGAGACCCAGCATGCCTGGAATGGCCGGGGTATAATAGGAAATCAGCATGGGGCCGTAAAAATAACGGGGAGTGCGGCTAAACTGCTGGTCTCCCACGCGCGGATGCAACAGAATCTCGGCCGATCCGTTACTTGCACGGCTGCTCAGATGCACGTTTTAGCAGGGAATTAATAGAAATCCGCATCCCTGTCCGGGAGGGACTTGGCGCTATGCCCGATTGGGCCCACCAGTTCGACCTCACGTCTCGCCTGTTGTACCCCCTCCTCTCACAATCAGCCCGCTGCCATCGCCATGCCGTCCACGCTGCTCTCACGTCAATCACCTCGCTCCCCCCGATTCTCTCTTTGGACCGTCCCGGCCTTCTCCCTCTTCTTCCGTTCTCCTGCCTCTGGCACACCCTTTTTCGTTATTGGCTCTTTTTCCATAAGCTTTTCTTTTAGCATTTCGCGTGCATTGACGGCCGATGCAGCTCCCCCCATGCTCGCCGTCTTGCTGGGCGTCCGCACCCCGGCCCAGCTCGAGATGTGCACGTTCGAGGCCGCTTTTCCAGCTCAACCCGACTGCGACTTGTTCGGTCGCATTCCCAATGGCGAGCCAACAACCCATGTCTTCTAGAAATACAATACAAGGCCCTGATCAAATGAAACGTCAGATTTCCATTAGGCGTATTTTCGAAATTATCGGTGCTGGCAAAGTGCCCAATATCAGTGGGGCCAGCCGATGTCACTTTTCGTGTGTTGTCGCCAGGTCGCGTCCCAGCTGCATCGTGAAGCTATCCGCAAATTCACGACCGAATTTCAACTTCTTCGCCCCAGGCCACCACAACTCTGATTTTTACTCAATTCATGCTATGGGCTTCACCAATGGATCAATTTAGAGGCCATGCACATTTTTTTGCATGCTTTCCGGACCACCGTGTCGCAATGCACGCCTTCTGGTCAAGTCGCGCTCCAGCCCACGATCGCGCGTCCACGATGCAGTCCTCTTTTCTTCTTTCCACGACCGCCCCTCAACTTTATCGCCTTCGTAATGGCTTTAAAAGTCTGAGGATGCTCAAGTGAGCTTCTTTTGTGATTCTCATTCATTTAATATGTGATCTGGCGGCCATGGCTGCACGGTATGGACGCGATGTGCTGTGGTGAGCAACGCGCCCAGACCAGTCGACCTGCATTTCTGCACAGGATCATGGTCTGCCGAGGCATTTCTACGATTTCCCTTCTAAATTACTTCTGACTGGGGATCATTTACAAGAGGCTTCAGAATAGCGTCCCCATCAGCGACACTTTCCGACAGACACCTGAGGTTTTCTGTTGGGAAGCGCAAAGCGGCGTTCCTCGCACCTGCCATTGCTCCCTCCCGTTGCGGCACAGCTCCGACCCCACACCAGGTCAGGACGCAAGACAGTCAGTCCTGCGCGTGCCGACTTCACGCCCAACGAGACCAGTGGAGATCTCAAGTGTTCGCATCAACGGCTCAGTCGCCGGCGTTCGCCGAATCACACAGTCTGCGGAGGTGGCTGGTTGGTGACACGACATGGGGCGTCTGACAACAACGTGGCCGAGGGGAGCCCGGCGCGCCATTTGCGACACCAGAGCACCCACGACGGCCCAGCTGTCTCTCATCTCGGTTACTAGATTCCTTGCCCCGAGACGCGGAAATTTCGGGACGGAACGAGACTGCCCTGCTGCACTTGAGCACCAACGAAACTTTGTATGTGTCATGAGCTCGGCAGTCGGATCCCCCATCGCCACCGCCGCATGTCCGGTCGGAATCACAACGCAGGCCTCCATCGCCAGCCACTGCCGAAATCACCTTGGCACAGTCGACATTGTTCGAGATGAGATTCGCCTCTCACGCCCGGATAGCCCACGGCACCACTCTGGTTTACCGTGCCCGCCATCCAGACGTGAAATACATCGAGCACGACATAGCCGACCGGGCGCAGCACGCATCACGGCTTGGCTCACTCTTGTTAAATTCACACAGACCCCAGTCGCCAGAGCTCGACCGCCTCGCCTCCAGCACGGCCAGCCGACATCACGGACAACATCGACGGATGGCCCTGGCCGAGAGGGTGCCCATGCGACGGCTGGGTCACGCGATGAATGCCCAGGGCTCCATGTAGGGGTGTGACGCGGTGTGAGGTCGGCCGCTGCCAGCTGCGGGAAGCCTCCGGGAAGGCTGCGGTTCCGGCTCATGAACAGAGATCTGCCGAGGGGTGCAGTAGAGCCTCGGTTGAAGCTCGGTGCCATCGAAATCTTCTTCACCAAGAGGCGTCGCCGTCTCTCCTCGTTCACAAGGCGAACATGGCCCCTGTCTGCCGAGAGCCACATTACGAAGGAGAATGGATGTTTGCACAGAAAGAAACGGATGGTAAACAGATACATTACGCGCCTAGTGCACTTGTACCCAACGCACCCACAGCCAACACACCCAGACCCAACACACCCAGACCCAACACACCTACACCCAATTTACATCCCCACGCCTGTAGGTGTGTAAATTAGATGTGAGTTTGGGAATGGGGCGTGGGTGTTACGCTCTGATTAGCTGTATGAGTATTATATAAGAGGTATCTGTGTATTATCCGTTTTGTTCTGTGCGAATATCCGTTTTCTTACAAAGATGCGTCCACGGCGGCGGCTGTTACCAACAACACGTACAACACAATTCCAGTGTTTGTGATGAGTTTAGAAGGTCACGGGATCAAATGGCAGTGATTCATCTGGATAGTTCGCAAGCTGTACAATGAGTAACGTAAATCTGACATCTCAACTCGCTGCTTCGCGGAGACGGATGCACAGAGTGAAGCACGTAATGCACGTGAGTGAATGCCAAATGCCTTGACTTACATCACGCGTGGCCCCCTAACGTAGTTCGCCACCTTGTGGACAAACAAAGTCACAATTGTGCTAAAGACGTAAGTGCGTGTGTGCCACTATACGATAGCAAGAGGCCGCGCCTGCTTTTCTTGCTGGTTTACGAGGCCTTGTATGAGTCACAACCGTACCAGGCAGCAAGCAATTGGGATGCTTCGTCAGGTGGGGCTCCCCCCGATTAAGCACTGTTTGTCAAAGACAGCTACCGATGACACCTCTGGCTCAAAGATCTTCAGGCACGGTGACGTTCAACGAATCAATTATACACACTGGATTCCCCCTTCTGGAATGCGACCCAGCTCAGACCACACTCTAAGCCGCTGTCTATTGATGGCCGTGTCTCATGTCTGCCACCTCACTTCGGGCTAGCCTGGTCTTAGTATCTCCAGGATAAGACGTCCTTGACCGAGGCAAGCCACGACTATGCCGAATCCCGACAAGTGCGGTGCCACTGGTCTGAAGCACCGTCCAATACATGTGCACTAGACTTGTCAGTCGTCTATGCGCGTTTTCTGTCAACTGTCTATATGTGCCACATAACCAACTATTTACTTGGTCTGGAGGCCTGTCGCTCTAGCACCATGTGTTACCTGCCTCTGATGCCTCGTGAATAGATCGTGCAGCCAAACAAAAAGCAAACCAGAAATTGATGCTGAAAAAGAATTGCATGTTAGGGTGAGAGTTCAGAGCCTATTCTCGTTCGTCTACAACGCACGGGAGGTATCGTCGCGCTCTGACATGGGTTCTGACTTGCCTAGGTGGAGGCGTTCAGCCATTATCCAGCAGATGGTAGCGTCGCGGCACTGCCCGGTCGGACAACCGCAAAAACCAATTATCTAAATCAGCGGTTCCTCTCGTACTAAGCTAAATTACCATTGCAACGAGGTTATTAATAGGGTAAAACTAACCTATCTTATAATGGTTTAAACCTAGCTTACATTCCTTATTTAATTCATAACTTAAAATGGTAATTAAGCAATCATTACATATAATTACTTATTAAGCATTGTTAAAAGTATTATTTTTAAATCTCTTTTAGCTTAATCGCCCCCTAACTAATTTATGCTGCAAGCACTCCTTAGCTAAGCCCGGTTTCCTAAGGATTTAGCACGTCCCTTAAGCAGCCTAATTAAGCACCAATACTACCTACACCTTATCGCGCTTTATATAGGCCATAAAAGATTATTTTATCACGGCTTTGCTTAAAATTAACATCTTATAGCCTTCCTTAATCCAAGTTATATTGCCATATAGCACTTATAACTTAATGCTATATTAACTAACTATTATTACTAACTTTTCCCATTAATAAGTAATGCTTTTTATTTAATAAGTAAATAATTTAACGCTTATTAAATTTTGCTTTAATATAATAAGAAGAGCTAATATTAAAAAATTAAAAAGCAATATTACTATAAACACTTAGCCGCTATAAGCTAATTATCCCTATGGTATATAAATTTTAATAAGCCAGCCCAGCTAACGTTAAAGTTATAGTTAAACTTGGCTTATATTTTAGGGCTTGGGGGCTTTGCTTAGCCCTTTGTCCTTAGGCGCTATCTTTAGCAGGATTAACTATATCTTAAGCCCCATTTTGCAATAAAGCTTATTGCCATTTAGTTAATAAACTGCATCCATAAGGCCCTAGCTAGAGCCCTTTAGGACTTAGCTGCGGATAACCTAATCTTAAGAGTTTTTACCATCCCTGAGGTTATTACCTTGGTGCTGATGCCCTGCCTTTTGATGGGCCGCGGTATCTTAAGCTTTAAGGGCCTCCCCGCAATTTAATAGTGTTGCTGATGACCGCCCCTAGTAGTAATTAAAAGCAGGATGGGCTAATTAGCAGGATACTTTAAGCTTATTATTAAAAGCTATCATGGAGTAACTTTTTTAGTATCTTTAGCCTTAAACCTTAAGGGATTAAAGGATTAATAGGCCATACTTTCATGGTTTATATTTATATTAAAAATCAAAATCAAGGGGACTTTTACCCTTTTGTTCTACTGGAGGTTCTGTTCTCCATGAGCCCCCCATTAGGACACCTGCGTTATGGTTTAACAGATATGCCGCCCCAGCCAAACTCCCCAACCCACCTGACAATGTCTTCAGCCCGGGTCAGCGCGCGAAGGATGTCAATCCAAGAAGTTGACAAAAGTCTAGACCCGTAACTACTCTATGATTGACGACTCATTCCAGGTGCATTTTCACGTCTCAGGCTGTGTTCGCGAGTCGCGAGTGCGGTGCGTATTCATTGAGTCGATCGTAGATGATGCATCACACACGGCTCGCGAGGCCCCAAAGGCAGGATGGTAGCCAATTGAATCAGTGTGCATGGAGACTCGGGGCAAGAAACTCGTCACCTGAGCAAAAAGCTTGATAAGTTGTCCTGTACAATACAAGTGGCCGCCCGACCAGACGTCATCCATCTAGAGTCAGGTTTCGCGCAGAAACTTGGGGTCGCCGTGAGCTGCGCATGTGTATTATATGCGCGCAGACAGAAAATGTTTATTTTGTTCGCAAATTTAATGCCATTCTACATCATATACATTATATCAGGAAGTGCACTCGTTCATCGTTGTGGCGGGAAACTTGGAACCTGAGCTGTTGACGTCCGGTGCCCAAGCTAGCAGCAAAGGACCTGCGCTTGAGTGGTAGGAACAGCAAAATGGGCCAAGTTGGAGAAATGTGTCCGATACTGTTGGATGCAGACTTTGGAATGCGTGCCTATTACCTTCAACAACAGCTTCTTCTTGGAGCTGTGGAGTGACCGCAACATGTGACCAGCCGTGGCAACAGCTAGCCGCCGTGGACCTGGGAAAGAGCAGTATTATTTGACCAAAGGAGATACGCGTTGAATCAGCTCACCAGAGTGAATCGAGGTAGATTTAATGAGTCCGTATCATTCACATTTGGAAAGGAAGTGTGCCTTCGGGAGCTGCAGAGCCCAAGCCAGAACAACTAATGCCCTTGTAGAACCTTCTCAACCGAGGTAATAGGTGACTGCGAGATTACTAGTTGCCAACTCGAGATATTTGCTATGCTATTGGAGCCTACGTTTGTGCTCGAGGAGTGATTGTACGCTTTCGTACCGGACGCTCGATTTCACCCTGGTCTATCACTGGACAGTCTGCAAGTGTATTGGCTACCAGTTTCAAAATTCTCCTTCCCCTTCCTCATTTCAACGTTACATTTCCGCGTCCGTGGGAACTCTATTCATACCATCTCTGCCCCCATAATCGGCTGATCGAAAAAACTATTTAATGAAAACTCGCAAAGTATTGCTGGATGTTGTGTGATCAGACGAGGTATCCTAGATTTCCGACGTTGAACAAGAGGAAGTGCGTTGACTTCCCAACGTATCCAAAGTTGAACTAATTGCGCAGTCACCTTATTACTACCAGGGCCAACATCGCCTGAGATGTTTTTCTTTGAGCGATGTAGCCAGTATTTACCTTGAACAGCGCTGAGATCCCAACAAGACGGTCAAGTCGTAATGTATCCTGGATGAACAAAGTTTCAATGTTATTCCTCCATCAACAACGCTACCGCTTTCAGCCAGGTAGGATTAAACCAGACCCTCATCCCACCCATTGAACAAATCTTGTAATCGAATCTTAGTGCAAGGGTCATCTGCGGAGGCACCAGACTCGGAGTAACGAGGGTAGACTCGGAGCACCGAGAATGAAGCCGGAGCCGCGGTCGCGAACTGCGCACGTCGAACTCCATCGTGGCCACTTCTGAAACCAATCGACGCGCAGTATGCAATCTTTGGCTCGAAATTAACATGTTCACGCCCTGCGTTACGCAAATGGTTCAATCATCCGAACGTCTCAGCCTATCATGCGGACTTTGTACTACCGCACCAGCCAAGGCCGATGGCAATGCCATTCCCACCTGCAGCAGCAACATTGCTGAATCTTCCCACAATTGTGCTCGGTCAAAGCTCGGTCATCTCGAAAGTGACAGGATCGTGAGGCAAGGTGAAGACACCGCATTTCGCTACAGTCAATGTTTCGACCTGTCATTCATCAGACATGGGCTTACCCACTTATGAGATTCACTCATTGTAAATGCTAATTATTACACATCTGAAATGAGACATGCCAATCAGCAGCATTCTGGCATGCACCCTCCCATGCCCCGATAGCGGTAGGTGGCATGCTCCCCCTTACCCACGCTGAGCAAGAATAGGAGAATCTGGAGTCGCCAAATTGCCGGGCTCGATTCCACACAGTCCTACACAGCAGACCAGACGGACACCGGCTCCATGGACCCTGCTCCAACGCATTGGTACTTGATCAAGTTTGGCTCTGCGAGACTGTTCTACGTCAATGTCAACTCCATCCAGACCCTATAATGACACTGCTCGACTCATATCAATTGGCCTCCTTCCACATTTTTGCCCCTGGCCAGCAGCAGCGGCCCAGACTAAGTTGATGCGTCCGGGCAACCCGTCGCCGATCTCCTGCAGCAGATGCAAAGGGAGCCCACTTACCATGACACCTGCACTGACCTGCCGGAGGGGCCCCATTCGATGGAACCCGTCTTTGCTGTCCCCAATGCCCACATTTTCCCACAGCTACGAAGGGGAACAAAGATGACGATGATCAAGGGCAGCGGGCTCGGCCCCCTCGTTTCAAAAGAAAAATGGCCGATTGGCCTTGCCTGACGCATTCACCAACCCATCCCGCCTCCATCGCCCCCGGTGTGATCGTCGCGCGGAAAGGGGATGATGGGGAGCGATAGCGAGTGTATACGGTATGGGGCCCTGCGAGCCAAACTCAAGGACGGGCCAAGAGCAGATCCACACTGAGCACCGAGCTCCCAGCTCCCTTTCATCAAAGGTAAATTCTCCCGTCGAACGAATCGCTCGCGTGCCGTGCCTGCGAGACAGACAGTCAGTTCGTCACAGCCAGACCCCCCCCCCTTCCTGCTCCCCACAGAACAAGAGGTCAACGAACCCTCTCTTCTTATTTCGTCTGACGACCGACTCGCGACAAGCACGCCAAGCTTCGGGGCTCTTTGTGGATAAGGGTTGCAGCCAAGCACGGGGATTGTTCCTGCACGCCTTCTCCAATCCAATCCCCTCCCAATTCGTGCCTATGCGACTGGCCGGCGTCCCAGCTCGACTCTTCTCGTTGAAACAACCTTATTGTTTGTGAATCAGTGCCTCGCCTTGGCACCGCACCGGGTATTCCGAGTTCCCTCTACCTACGTAATTGGAACTGTGCTGAGCTGCATGACGGTCCGTCATTGACCCAGTGTTATTCTCTGCCCACTTGCCAATCAAGGTGCACAGCCAGAGAATCGCACGCGCCGGCGGCCCAGACAGACAGAGAGACAGAGAGACAGAGAGACAGAGAGACAGAGAGACAGAGAGACAGAATGACAGACAGACAGACATCGACAGGCATGCCCGTGGAAAGGACACTCAGCGGCATTCCCCGGCCCACGGTAGATAGTAGAAATAGACACACACGGTAGACTTGCGTACCTGCGAATGACTTGCACGAACCGCCTCAGCCGCACCTAGTCACCAGCCACGGAATGAGGCCAGCCCCCCCAATCTACTCAAGACGGGGGGCCGCCGCCGGTCGCGTCGCGATACCTACTCGTAGCGCCAAGCCAAGGGCAAATACGCGCCAGCCAGTCCAGTCCAATTCCCAGAGCCGCCCAGCAGCAAAAGGCCTCTCCCATGTCGTCACCAGCCAGCAAAGCTGCTCTGTGGGATGTGGAGAAGGGGGAAAGACATGGACATGAGGTTGGCTCGGCGCCTCGTTCGGTGCTACTTTTGGACGCCCTCACCTCCTTCCGCCCATTTGTATCCGCACAGAGGCGGGCGGGCGGGCCTCTCTTGTCCTCCCCCCATCAACCAACACGACGACCAACACGACCAACAACTACCAAATGGGGCAGCCAGAAACAAACGCGCGGCTGGGCGGCCCTCCTGAACTTCGGACAAAACTGCACGGTACCATGCGAGCGTGCAAGGCCCTGGTGGGTTTTGGTGGGGCGCTCGCAAGCAGGGGGGGAGGAAGGGAGAGAAGAGAGGCACAGAGAGAGGGAGGGAGAAAAGACCCACCGGGCCAAGAAGTCCCGGTCCCGGTCCCCAGACCCAAGGCCCGACGGCCGCCCTGCGACGTTTCTATTCTAGGATTGTTGTAGATATATCGGGAAGTGGTTGTGGCGCAGGGCAGACAAGACAAGAGAGCGACATGACAATCATCATCATAACCTACCCTGGAGCCCACACACAGACAACAAACCAAACATGACGTTAGTTACCCGCGACCGTTGGGGGAGGTTGCGATGGACGTTTCACAACATTCGATGCCGGGCAGCCCCAGGGCTGGCGCACGGAAGGCTTTGATGGGCTTTTTTTTTTTTTTTTTTTTTTTTTTTTGTACGGTAGCGAGCATCTCTAATCAAGGACATCCCGCAGGTGACCTGGCCCCGAGGCCCCGGGGCGCCGTAGGCGAGACCCTTGGAGGTTGGGATCTGCCGCCGGTCCCCCTGACGCCAGGGTGGTTTGGTGGACTGACTTGGCCGACTCTTGGCTGGGGCTGGGCACGGTTCTCTTGAAAGCCATACGGTTTGGTGTAAGATTGATGAGGCGATCGTCGCGGCCGGAAGGGGAAAGCGGACGTTGGGTGGGGTGGGTGATAGGACCGCCCTGCAGGCCCGGCGGCGCTCCCTTAAAGTCCCCGGTAGCACAGCCCGTCCGGCAGTCTGTGTCCATGCGTGCATGTGTGTAGTGTGTGTGTGTGTATGTGCGCGCGTGAGCTGGTGGGGAGGTGGATGAGTGAGAGGGGAGCAGTGGGTGGACCAACTTTGAAAGCAGCAATTTTCGCAGCCTGTTCTGGGGACTTTTAACAGGTGATTTGGCCACTCTCCCCCCCCCCCAAAACCGGATCCGAAGCACATACTGGCGCCGGACAAGCCGTTGGTGAGACTTGGGACGACTTTTGTGACTGTGAATGAACAAAGAAGAAACCTTCGTTCCTCATGGGATGAGGCATGCGTATTCAAGGCCCGAGTCTGACCAGATGGAGAGGGTCTGCACCAGGACCAACACCTACGGAGAGCAACTCCTAACCCTTTCAGCTTTCCCCGTGGTTCGATTTGCTACCTTGTAGACAACCCCATGAACCGACATTTACGCGTCACCACGGGAGCAGTCCCCTCGCCGAAACAGACCTTCTATCACCTTGACCATCCCACCGTTCTGTTTGCATCAAACAAAACGGCCCCCCACAAAATCGAACTGTTCTAGAAGGGCCAATTCCCCGACGGCGAGGTTAACCAAGTGGGGGCTAGGGGGGCCAGCGAAGGACGTCAGAATAATTAATTATCTTAATATTGGCTCTAGCTCACCAAAGGAGCCACAAGGGCACCAGCACAGCCATACGTTAGAAGAACACTAGTGAAGACAATGCTGGAACAGACCATGTGGAGGCTGCTTTGCGAGGACTCGCAATCCGAGCGACGACCCACCGCCTCGAGCAGCGCAAAATGGACAGCCCTGAGCAAGATCTAGGATCTTCGTTCCCACAGGCTTCGACTGAGAATTAGATCGACCAAAAAAAAATAAAAAAATCGTTCGATTCAGTTCTTTGCTGTGTAATGTGACGGTAGCAGTAATACGTGCTCACAATAAACCCCCCTTCAGTCATTCAATCCCACCTAACCCGCAAAAACAAGAGTCATTCATTCAGCGCACACATTGCATCGATCGAGAAGAGGGTTGAGACGATGGGCTTTCGGGCTCGTATACGTAAAGATACTGTGTACATAGGACGGGTCAGCCAGTTTTATTAGTCAGTCAGTCCGTGAAGTCAAGTCAGTCAGTCAGTCAGTCAGTCATTATTAGGTCGGCAAGCCTCGGAGGAAAGCCAAGACCCCGGGGCGTTTGTCTCTCCCACTTGGCGTCGTCGGCGCGTTACGACTCGCGATATTAAGCTTACTCGCCCCCTATCTTGGCAGCCAGCACTAGGAGCAAACACGGTGGGGGGAGGAGGGATGGTGGCTCCTCCTCGCATCCCATGCCATCCGAACTCCTTGGCACTTACTGTCTTCCCTGCATCAGAAATGGTAGGGGAGTGGGACGGAAGGTCGGAGGGCTAGGGAGGAAAGGAGGAAAGGGGACAACAAGCTCCCGCTCACCACGGGGTCAGCGAGGAAGGAAAGCAAGGGAAAAATAGACCACGCCCGTGGAGCGCCCGCCCACACAGCCCGCCGAAAGAGCCGCATCCATGAGATCGTCGTAGATAACGCAGTTGTGGGCAGGCAGGTGGTGTAACCCAGAGCAAAGGGTATCCATCCCGTCCACCGTCCACGCAAACCTCCCCCTCCGGTATGTGGGCGAACGACACCACCACTCCCGTGGCCCCAAGCCATGAACCTCTCTACGCGTCCCATATGCGTGATGGGGCTGATTCGGCGCGTGGGCGAGGAGGGAGGCCACGGGAGGGAGGGTCATGCAACGGGCGGGGCCCATGTCCCCATCGCTAACACGATCATCATCAAACAGGGCCCCAGAGGTGACGACCAAGATACCGAGGCAGCGGGACAGGAGGGTTAGGAAAATTCCAGACCAAAAAAAAAAAAAAAAAAAAAATTCATACGGGACGGGCGGTTGCGGTGGATAATCGAGAGGAGCGTGCCCCGGCGCCTTTCCGTCTTGCCGGATTCCGGTGACGACGACTTTTGAAGGGGGGCCGGCCTTTGGTAAGCAGAAACATGCTGGAGCATAGTAACTCGGATCGGGTGTAGACAAGTGGGTGGTGGTAAATCCGAGCTTGGGCTCAAAGAACGGAGGCCGCTTGTTGGGTGAGTGAAGCAGTGAATGAATGGACGGGCCCTAAACAAATTGCAGGCAAGCAAGTGCGCAGGATGCGGGTGACGTTGAAGGGAAGCAAGAGGCCTGGTCGAGTCAATAATCACATTCGGTAAAGACTTTGAGACAGAAAAAATAAGTGATGAAAATATAGCTCCAATATTCGCAAAAGCTATCTAGGCTGGTTGAAGATCACTTCACCAGATAATGCTACCTGCTCCTATATTTCCGCCTTGCCTGATGGCAGCTCCTCGATATCCTTCCTCCTGGTATTTCCTCCGTGACGCCTCGCCAGTGGCACAAACCGACTGGATAAATGTGATACCTGGCCATGCCTCCATGGAACACAAAAATGGAACAAAGAAAACAGCAAATCCCCTTTCCCGCAACGCGAATACAAGCAAAAAGCTTTTCGCCAATTTCAATGTCCCTGCTCTGGACGCCGTAACAATGCAAAATGACTCCCCACTCCATCCCAGGTTACCGTGACCATGCTCCTGTGTGCTTAGGGAGCCCGTTCCGCCAACAGATAATCAAATGGAGAACTTCTTGTTAAGAACGTCCAATGCTCTTGCGTCCTCGTGGAAACCCTTGGCCATCAAACCTGCCGAGGCAGCGCTTCCCATAGCAGCGCTGCCCATAGCTGCGCCGGTTCCACGTGGGCTGCTCGTCGCACTGTTGCTGCCCGCCGCGCTCGTTGGCTCCGAGTTCGATGGTGTTGGGTTTGGGTGCAGCAGCGCCGAGAGGCTGGCCTTGTTACCGCTAACGTTGGGTGGCGACTGCGAAAGCGCGCGAGGCGGCGGCGTCGAGCTGTGCACCGAGGGCAGGGGCCCGGGCATCGTCCGTCCGGCGCCGCCGGCCTTCAACTGCAGTTGTTGTAGGCGCGGCGACTCTTCGTTTATCCTGATCTGCGCCAGGTATGGCGACCTATGCTGTGGCGGCCCTTGGCTGTAGTGTGGCAGCATCGAGGGAGTCACTCTTGGTTGCGAGGCAGACCCCGGCGGTGGCAGCTGGGGACGGTCGTAGGCAGGTGCGGTGGGGGAGGCCCTGGGAGGTAGTGGTGCGGGTGGCCGTGGTGAGGTGGCGGGTATGGAGCGCCAGCTGGTGGTGGTGGGAGTTGTGTTGGTGGGTATGGAGCAGACACTGTGTAGTGGCTGTAGGGCGGCGTCGCAACAGGCGAGGGCGGCCAGCCTGGGTATGGTGACTGTTGTGCGTATTGTGGGTGGTATGCCGCTGGGTGTGGTGCTGCTGGCGCGTATGCCGATGCCATAGGTGTCCTGGTCATGGCAGGGACGGGCTGCTCGTTCATGCTCGACTCGGGGTACATGCCCTTGACGGGCACGATGTGCCTCAGGCTGGGGTCCGAGCTGGGTTGTGGGAGCTCTGGCTCGCTGGGGTGCGGGCGGGAGAAGTATGAGATCAGGTGGAGGTGCTGGCCCTGCGAGGTGGTGATGCTGAAGGACTGCTTCATGAGGCCGTCGGCCTTGTACCGGTACCCGTCGGGCTCACCGTCGTCGTTGTCCTCGTCGCTGCCGCGGCCAGAGTCAGGTGTCTTGCCGACGCTCCTCCGTGATGCGCCGAAGCCGCCGCCACGCTTGCCCTCCATCTCCCGGTAAGTGAGGAAACTGCCCGAGACCCTGCTGGCGCTCCATGATTTTCCGTCCGTCCACCTGCGCATACCGGCTTCCCTCTCATCCCAAACGAAGACGGACCCGGACCGGATGGACTGGCGCTCCTTCTCTGATAACCTGCGCTGCACGCGAGGCAGCAGGCCGAGCCTGCAGGCCTCGAATAGTTTGATCGCATCTGCGGGAGTCCGCACGAGGCCGTGGTATGTTTCCATCATGTTATTCTGTCGCACAGCCATGTGTTGTGTGGGGGAGGCTGGTTGGGTGGTGGTTGAGGAGTGGGAAGACGTGTGAGGAGGGTCAGGACCCAGCAGTGTGGCAGGCTGCTGAAGTTCCTAAATACAAGTGCACCCGAAATCTAGATGGCCCCCAGATCTGCAGGGTGGGCCCGCTATTCGAATCGAGAAAAGTAACTTTTAAAATATGGTTGTCTGGATAGGGCACCAACACCCTGTCCTGCAACTCAGGAGGAGCGAGGCTTGCGCGGCGCTATGTCAATCGCCCCACCGGGAGGAGCAACCCGGCTGATCGGCCTTTGATTGGCGTTGTCGCGCTGCGCTGTGCGGTTGGCAGGGGCTGCGTGAAGGGGGGCCGCAGGCACTATGCAGTGAGCAGACCCTCTCTGGACCCGAGGCAGGCTGCCCGTGGTGAAATTTGGTGTGGAGGGCTGCCGTGGATCTCTTGTATTGCTGTTTCCTCTTTAACGGGCAGTGATGTTAGTCCCGGCTGATCCCAAGGGTAGTCGAGATGCGATTGACGATGACGGCAATTCGATGTCAGGGAGCGAGGTTGCGCAATGCTTAAAAAGGAAAACACAGGGAGAAAAGAACGGACAAGAACAGACGAGAGGGACGAAGGGGTGTACGGGTGTGGTGGGTGTGCGACGGCAAGCTGAGCGAGGGTGACGAGAGGGGGGGAGTGCGATTCATAAAAAGTCTCAGACGTCCCAACAAGCCGGTGGGACTGTTTGTCCTTCGAGACGCACAGGGTGACAGGCTTCTCTGATGGGAGGATGGGACGGTCAAGAAAGCTTGGCCCTTTGTGGTTGTGGAAGTGGGAGCAGGCCTGCAGCTGCAGGAGCAGCGCGTGTGTGCGCACATGTCCATGTATATAATAAATCCTGACACACGGCGCCGGCCAAAACACTGGCATGGCATATCCACCCTGGGGAGGACGACACGCAACGCAGAGGGCACTAGGAGGCTGGCCCAGTGGGTAATCTGGAAAGCAGAGGAGAGGGTTCAGGAGCAGCGGCCCAGCGGCCAACCAGCCAGCGGTCCCGTACAGTGAGTGGTACGCGCAATGAGGCCACACTTCGCCGCACGCGCGAGCCAGAGCCAAAGCAGGATAGAGTACGGATACAGGTGTGCTGGACATAATAGTACGGTGCAATGCCCGGCTCTGGCTGGCTTGGCCCTGTGGCCCTCTTCCTTGCAGGGACGGTGCTAGGCTCGTGGTAATTCCGAGCCAAGTACCAAGTAAACTCCTTGGTGCCATGCCAAGCCGTGTGCCCAGACTTAAAAAATTGGGGCCGGGATGAGTGAGGGATCGTGTGTAGTCAGGCAGTACGATACGGTACGGTGCGGTACAGTACGTACACTCTCGACAGGGACGCCCCCCCAGGCAAGGTTGAGCTTGTCTTGCCCACCCAGTCAGGGTTGCCATCACCCGAGGCCCCCATGAAGGGCGTAACTCATTCGCCAGCCTGCCTGGGTCGCAGCAGTGGGTATTTAATCCAGTCCAGAGCCCTCCATTCCGAGGCCCCATGGTCCTTGCACGCCTCCCGAGATTTGGGTGGTCGGTGGACGCGTGGATATGGTAAATGCCAGGGAATAGAAAAGACAAAGGGACGCGAAATAGGGGGGTTGGAGGGGCGTTGGTTTGGCCATTGTGTGCAATGATGTGACATGCGACCAGAGCCCGAAATGCCACAACACAAGGGAAAAAAACAAGAAGTTAAAATAAATGACCGAGAGGCCGAACCAACGGCATACGGGCGTTGCACACGGCATTGGTCTGGATGTGGGTATGGGTGTGGATGGGGATGACCAAGTGGATATGCGCACGAGAGAGATGGATTGGCAAGTCAAGGTTGGCGCGGGAAGCACGAAGGGGGATCGTCATTGTCATTGTCACTGTCATGGAGGAGTGGCCGAGGGGTGGGATAGATGACAGAAGCAGGACCCATCAGGCCAGACGAGCTGACTCTTGCGCGCAGGCAGCGGGTGATGGGTGAGGGATGGAGGATGAGTGGTGATGAGTGGTGATGACTGATGTGAATGCATTTTGCGATGTGTCGACCAGACAAGTCCGTTTCTGGGCTGGCTGGCTGGCTGATTGATTGCTCACATGTGCAGTCTTGTGTGTGTGTGCTCAGCAGTGTATCGGGGAACCCGTTCTTGAGCCTCATCTCATCTCTATCATCTCTCTCATCTCACTCATCTCAGTGGTACCGGGACCGGGACCGGGACCAAGGACCAGGAGCGCAACACAGCTTTGCGTGCACACCCGCTGCGCCTGTCCCCATGAGCACACTGCATGATGGGTGATGCGTGTTTGTGCGTGTGTGCTTGAGGCTGACTGTTGGTCGGGCGGAGCAGTTGGCCCCCTGCCGAACAGAGCAGCACCAAGGTCCGATTCGGGCCAGGGAGAGCGCAACAGAAAGGGTGTCATCGTAAGGTGGCGCTCGCATTTTTGCCTGCCTTGCTTTGCCCTGCCCTGCCTTGCTTCAATAGACCTGACTGAGCCGAGCCGAGCTGACCTGAGTCGGTTTCCCACTGGGGGAGGCCAGGCCAGGCCAGGCTAAGGGGGTGGCGGGATGGGACAGGATGATGGGATGTGATGTGGTTGTTGGTGCAGTACGTGTTGGTGGATGCAAATGTGATGGGCCCGTCGAGAGCATGAAGGCGTGGGAGTTTGGGTTACGCGTACCTGTTCAGACGATTTCTCTCCGTGCTGTACTGCCAGTCGGAGTGGAGGCAGGATTGGCGTTGGAAAGGGCGAGAGGCTGTTTGCAGCCTGGCGATCCAGGGTCGGGTGTCGCAAGAATTTAAGGTTAATTCAGGTTATTTTCGGACACACGGCAAGCGAGAAAAAAAGGTGTGCCTGTCCTGTCAGTGTGTGCGTGAGTGTGCAGACCAGGTCCAGGCCGAAGATGACGGAGAATCCCACAGCAAGAGGAGGATGCCGTAGTTTACTCCAGGACAAACTCGGAAGCAATTGACTTCTCGATCCCAGTTTTGGTGGAGTTGTGTTGTTTGAGGGAAGAAGATCAAAAGAATTGTCTCGAGGACGAGAGTTTTGTCGCAACGGTCGGTGGAAGGAACCTTGGAAGGTCCAAGGCCGGGTGCGTTGATGCGTGAGAAGTAGACTAGGCAGGTACCTGTGCACTGGTGCGGTGCAGCAGCGGTACTGCACGGTACGGGCGGCCAGACAAGGTCGTGTCAGGCAAGAGCAAAGAAGCTTGGCTCAATCCCTAGGCGGGCTTGGACTGCTGCCGCTAACTTATTCACCCAGATTAGTGCCTTCCTTTACTGGAACACAATCGGTCGCTCAAGCGTTGGGGATCTGCGCATCCGCACTTGGGGCTGCAGGGAGTCAAGGCTGGGCTGGAAGGTACCCAAAAGGGAAAGAGGGGGGGGGGGCAGGAGGGAAGGGGCGAGGGCGAGGGGGGAGGGGGGCCCTTGGTATGGTCCCACATGGGATCCCTCAAGAGGCTGGCTGGCAGGTGGGGTCTTTTGAGAATGTTAAAATAAGAATAGGAACATTGAAGCGAGGACATGAGCCTCAAAAGAGTACGACTGTGCGAACAAGCTCTTCCGATCGAGAAGGCCCCAGTAAGGGAGAGTAAGATGGTGTACTGTGTAGTGCAGTCTGGGCCCTGGAATGGCTTGTGGCTAGACGAGTGCTGATGCTGATGATGGCGTGTGCAGTGGGTGCGCAGCTCGGAATGTGGGAGGGAGGAGTTTGCCCGGGAGAGTGCACGATCATCATCATCATCCATCAATCTCACTTTGGCTCTGACACCGACCTCGACGGTCGCTTCCTCTTCTCACTCACCTGGCGTGATCAATTACCCAATCGAGGCCTCTTCGCCGCGGCCACATCCACCGTCGAGGATCTGCTCCCGCGGGGCCAGAAATTCACCAAGCCCGTTGTGGGCGAGGACCTGAGACGCTCGAATGACCAGCCGCGGGGGGAACAAAAACCCCGGGCTGTTGTTGGAGCGATTGAGAGATGCTGCAGGCAACTTGATGCGGTGCGATGCAAGCACAGCCAACAGGGCGCACGCCTCTCAAGCCAACGTAAATGTAACTTCGGTCGAGTCCACAGGTCGAGTCCCGGCGGGTACCGATGGTTCCAAAATAGTTCTTGTTCGGTGGGTTTTTTGTGTTCTGGCCTTGTTGCAGCCAGGTGTTGGTTTGACGATCGGCGGATACCAACGTCCCAGTTGCCCACTGAGCAGGCCGCCCGAGGTCAACAAAAGGCCTTTCTCCAGGTATCGGTTCCTTCTCGAGATCCTGCGATTCGCCTCTGGGGCTGACAGGTTGTCCGGTTTCGGCTCCTGCTGTCCTTTTGGCCGTCTTTAAATCTGACTACGCTGCTGCTGCTCCTGCTGCTGCTGCTGACTGCCGTTCTTCTCGGCGCTGCGAGTGGCGTGTGGTCGGTCGGGTCTTGGGATTCGATGCCTCCGCAAGGGGGATCTGTATGTACGGGTGGTTCGATCTCACCCCTCTATTTCTCCTTCTGGGCAGTGGGGGAGACGCTCGACGGACGTTTGTTGACGCAATAGTCTGGGGAAATTGAAAAGAGGAACGGATCCACAACCCAGGCCGTGCTCTTGTGGCGGCTTTTGCCTGGGGGCTTCTACACGAGATATATAATATCAAACACGGAGTATTTCCAGCGCCCGGGCGCTCTCGACGTCCCAGCAATCGGGTTCAGGCCAGAGCCAAGTCTTTCTCTTGAATCTCTTGGGCGGAACTTGGGATGACTTGGTGCCAGTGTCAGTGCCAGTCCCAGAGCCCGTGGCCCAGTGCGAATGCGAGGGATCGAGGCTGTGCAGGTCTCGAGGCGCTCAAGTGCTCCGTAACAAGAGATACCAAGGCGCTTCTGGGAAATCAAACTAGTCTTGGGAGCCCCCTCCAGGTACTTGGACTCGGGATGGGACGGCGATTTGAGGCAAAGGAAGAGTCTTGACTTTCTTGGCACCACCTCTGCTTGCTGATCGAACCCCGAATCTTGCTCAATGCCGGGCGAACTCTGTTGACCCCTTTTTTTCCTTCTTTTCTCTGCCCCTTCAGACCATTGGTGCAAAGTCAAATAGCGTGTGGAATGACTCCTGCACCCGCCTGAACAGGAGGCAGGGAAAGAAAAAAGAAATAAGTTTAACGAGTTTAGCTTTGATATGCCGTGTCCGGTCTGAGCCTGGCCCGCCGCCGACCCAACGGCACCAAAGCTTGAGGGACGCGCGCTGCTCCGAGTCCTCCGTAGGGCTCGCCCGCCCAGGCTGCACCAAGAGAGAAAAAGGAAAGGGAGTTAGTTGTTGGAGGGCACCTGGCCGCCAGCTAGACTCGCGGGTTACAGTTTGAAACGTCCTAACGTCAAAAAGCTTGGATTCGATCTTCACCAAGATCCTCGCCAAGGCAAACCTTAATTCTTGGTCCGGTCTTTTTGTCGGTCTAAAAACAGCAAAGGCGCACCGCCCGCCGGGTTAGAGACTGACTAGTCCTAGTAGTAGTAGGTGTGATGATAAAAAAGTGAACGGACTGGGCGGGCTGTCGGACTATGCCCTGGGTGACAGGAGATGAGCGGTCGAAATAAGGTTGATATTAAACTCCCCTCACCACCACCACCCCCCAAAAGGCATTTAATTAAGCTTACCGTCGGTCCAATGCCCAGCCCAGCTGCCCTCGCTTCGCTTCACACTCACATGGGGTCAAGCACACACATGCACTACGCACACGCACCCACGCAAGCGCAAAGAATGGTTCGCGATCGGTGATGATGACGTTGTTGTTAATTTCGCAGACCCTCCTTTTCCCACTCCGGCTCGCTCGGCTCGGCGCTGCAGGCTGGTGGCTGGGTAAGCCCTTTTGTTATCCTGCCATTGGGGGTTCACGCAGCCTGGGTGGGAGCTGTTGGCCCGTAGCCCAAACTCAAAGAGGGAGTTTCCCGTCTGGCAGAGCTCTCGGCGCGATCGTCCTGTCCTGCGGTCCTGTCCTATCAAGTTTTGTGTTTGACGGCTGTCGATACCGGATGCCAGCGAAGCGGTTGATCTTCAGTGGGGTCCTTTTTTTATTTCGTCTCAGCCAGACGACGTGGGGGGGCTGGACTGAGTCGGTTCTCCTTGCAGGTGTGATTTTCTTACCAAACAATGAGTCAGGGCTAAGGACAGTAATAAGAAAGGCCACTACTAGACTATGCAGCTCAGGTAATGAGGCGATGGGACGGGCGGTGGCACTCTCTCAAGACAAAACCGGAATACGGGATGCGTGGAAGCGAGGCATGAAGCGGCTGAATGACTGGCTGGCTGTGTATGGCTTGGCCTCGTATCGCCCTTTCTCTCTCTTGCTCTCGGCGGGGAGGCCCCGCCTTTCATCAGGAGTGACGAGAAAGTAAACGGGCCGGCGCCACGTTCAAGGCAGCCCACCCAGGGGCCTAGGCACGCCCTCAGGACAGGCTCAGAAGGGGGCCCCAAGACCAGGCCAAGCACGCGCGATCAGCAGGGGCCAAGCAAACCAAGCAAACCAAGCAAAATGCCAATGCTGTGGCCCAGCCTGGGCGGCCACAGGTGTAATCTGTTGTCCGGCCCCCGCGTCCCGAGGGTTCCTGTGTAGCCGGGCCCTCGGCGTCTCTGAGTACTGCGCCGCACCCAGGTTACGCAGGTACGGTACTTTGACTCGACAGGACATGACCTGGTAGTCTACGGTATGACATGACAGGACTGGGCCGGGGGGGGGGTTGTGCTACATCAAATTCTGTCTATTCGATGCCTACGTGTCGGTGTGGCGTGGGAACCAAAAGAAAAAAAAGTAGGACAAGACACAGGCAGCATCAGCAGCAGCCGTAACAGCAGTAATACCAGCGGTAGCAGAGGGGGAAAAAAAAAAGAAAGGCTTGGCTGACGGTGCCGGACTTGACGTGGGAATATGGTTTAATTTCAAGCTTATTTCCCCCAACAGGCGCCGCTGGCACTGCCCAGGGCCTAGCTCGACGCCTCTCTGGATCAGATGCTACCCTGAGCGCTCTGCCAAGACGTGCTAAGGATAACCTTCTTTTTGTCTCCCAGCCAGTCGGACTGTGGTCGCCCGTCATTGGGCGGCTGCTTGCCTGCTGGTGGCCCTCCTGAAGAATCCCAACGATCCTATTGTTGTGAATTTGCCGTCGCTTCCACGAGCCACGAGAAACCCAAGACGATAGTTCTTGCCGGGTCCTTGTCTCCCCACCCTCCTTGACTGTGCGAACCATTCCTCAATTACGCTCCCGTATTCGCGTGAGCATGACCCGAGTGTCAAAGTCAGCCAGCCATCGACCATCACCGGCATGGTTGCGTCGACTAAGACCACGCCCCTGGACGCAACACAAGCGCGAGATAGGGTTCCTTCTTGTACGGCACCGCGCATCCGTAACGCTGTGGCCAGCCGGCATCGCCAAAGAGGGCCGAGATCGATGGGGCCGCAGTTCTGACGGCTGCCTGCCTTCCCGCATCGGTACCAGCGATTCAACTCTGGCCTTCCCGTCTACGCGCACACGTAGTAATACGTGCATAGTAGATAAGAGCCTTATTACTCGGTACCCCCGGTTTGCCTCTCACAAAATCCTCTCAGGTGTGAGGGTGAGGTTCACAAAGTGGCAGCCTGGCCCCAGTCTGACCAGGTCAGACGCGGACTTACACAAGAGATGCTGATCCTTGGGGCCGTAAGCACGCCATCTCCTCCCCCATCTGGACAATTGTTACGAGGTGGGAGCAGCAGGAGGAGGAGGATTACACGTTCCTGGATGAGGGTGTCATCCAGAGATCAACTAGAAAAAAAAGAAAACACAATCTCACGGGTGGCGGACGGCGGGCTTCGCAGGATCTAGCCCGGCTCTTGGAAACCCACCCTTCGGCCCTACCTGCCTATTTGCCAAGTCTTGTCCTTCGCTATCTTATGTTGGACGTCCTTCCAATCGATATGGATTAAATTGCACGGATCCTTTTCTCCCTCTGTCTGATTCCCTCTCTCTCTTCCCGAGACCGCAGCTGTCACGAGGCAAACGCATAGCGGTGGCGTGCCACAAGGGCCAAGCCAAATGGCTCAGCTAAGATTTTAGGCTCGAGCACCAGGGTCGGAACCCCCTTATTATTGCCAACCGGTGGCCAAGCATCAGCGGAGAGCGAAGACGGGATGGAGGAAGGTTTCCGAATCCGGCAATCAAGCTCTCGCACTCGAGAGCTGAACAGGCCAGCTGGCCTCCTCTCGCGTTGTCGATTGTCAATGAGCATTGTGTGCTGGGGCTGGCTGTCCGTATGCACTATCGCTGACTCCTTGCGTCACTGACTCCATGCAGGTTGGCAGGCTGGCAGGCACGCACGCAGGTCGGTCGACGGTGTCTGTCTCCGTGTGTGTGCATGTGTCCCCACCAGCCCAGGCAGATACAACATCGCACGCAACAGACACAATCTACCTAATTAAAATGCAGGCTAATCTAATGCCCCGAGATCAGCACCGTCACACCTTGCCGATCACCCCAGACCCAAGACCCGTTGCGCTCATGATGTACTAGAAGGGGGAAAGGTGCGACGATGCAACCACACGTGAAAGGTCGCACCACAAAGCCAGCCCCCCCCCCAAAATGCCGAGCCGATTATCCGTTGCTGCATCGGTGGTTTGATTTGGTTTGATTCGATTTGATTTGATTTGATTTGGCTGCAACGGCTGCCGCAGAGGCTCTGCCGTGGGAGAGGCATGTGCTTGTGTGCCCCTTCTCGTCCGACATTGTCTCTGTCTGCGACTCCCCAAGTGGGCGCAGCCGCAGCAAGACGGCATGGTTTAACAAACGAGTAAAAAAAATGGCGTTGGTGTGGCTTTCGCGACGGGTCAAGCTGTTTCCTCTCATGATGGTACGAGACAAGCCTCTTGATACGTTTCACCTTCTTCACCTCACAGTAGACTCGGCCGTCAGGGCGGGCTCGTCCAGTGCCACGTCGAGGATTCACCGATCGCCGCCATATCGAGCGGTCCCTCTGCTTATTTTGGCCAAGGACAACCGCTTCCGGGGATGCATAAACGCCCTTAAGGCCATTGTGCCTTGTTTTGGTTTGCTCGTCTCTGCTCCTCCACGTAACGAACTTCGTCTCGGCCGTGGGCGGACTTGGTTGCCTCGTACTTGTGATGCCGCTCCCTCTGCTGCCAGTGTGTCTCAAGCCGCCCGCCGGCACAAGTCCATGTATCAAACAGTCGGTCCACAAGTGATAGCTGTCGCTCCTGCGATGCACCTCGATGCCCCACTGTATCCAAACCCTCCATCGTCCCATCTCACGCGACTGCCCTGCTGCCGGAGGCTTCATACAGAGCAGGCGAGCCAGACATGACGACACATCTGCACTCTCATGTCCAACAACCGAAGTGGGACCCTCCCCCAACACCACCAAAACCACACTGAGGCAGACCACGGCCCATCATAACCGGGTCCCCAGTCCTCAGATTTTTTGGCCCCCAAGCCAGAAGCAGTTACCGACTCGCCCACCCGGGCTGCCAGCCTGCCAGCCTGCCGGTCTGCCTGCGAGCCTGCCTGTCTACCATCCACTCAAATCATCCACCTTGTCATCCACACAAAAATCCCACCCCCACAAGGGCCCGCCGATGCGACCAGGCAGGAGGGCCACCCTCCCAAAGCGGAAGTGCCTTGCGCGCTGACGCCATGCCCAATCCGTACTTTACCTTTTAAGCGTCTTTTAACAATGGTCGCGTGTGGGGCGGAGATCATCGTGATCGTCCCTCTCGCGGTGGGGCCCCCTTCTGATGAGGGCTTCGTAAGCTGGCAGGGGACCCCCTTGACGGGGCTGGGCCAGGGGGGGGGAGGAAGGGACTTTTTCTTGCTCACTAGCCTGCGGTCGAGAAATGGGGACTTTTTTTCTCTGTCTTGTTTACTAGATACTGGCTGACTGGTAGATTAATTCCCATTCTCGGGAAGGGGGGGGGGCTGCAGCTAGATGAGAGCCTCCAAGGGAATGGAAGTTCTCGTCGCCGCGGCGCTCCTGCGATGGAGGCCCACGAACAGGTGGATGGCCTCCTCAAGCAACCCACGTAAACTTTTATTTGACTTTATTCCTCCTGGGAACCCCATAGCTAGCTACTGTACTTGAGGTAGTGAAGATTATCCCGTAATGCCGAACTGTCCCCATTGACCAAGGGCCCCTGCTCGTTTCGCAAGGGAAAAGTTGTAACTGTGTCATCTTGCATGCCCGCCAGCCCCAGATGAGTCCCGCCGCAGGTTTCAACGTCTCTCGTCTCCTTCCTTCCTCGTACGTGCAAGCGTGCGACGGGATACGCGTAACTCGGTAGCACGCTTTCTTCTCGCTTCACCCAACAGGACCCGCCGCCGCGGACATTACCGCGTGGCTCGAGTTCGGCCCTGGTCCTCCTGCTGGGACCGAGAGAGGGCGGCACGACGGCATAGTTGCGCCCTGTGGCCCTCTCTCGGCTTTGCGGTTCCTCTCGCTCAAGTTGTTACGGCTTGTGCGATGGGCAAACCCCATGTCACTGGGCCCCCAAGAGTAGGGCACCGAGGAGCAGCTGACCGTGTTTCCTGCTCACGTTCCTCCCGCCGGGTTTCCACATTACGGCCTTGATAAGGCCGGTGTCCTTTTTGGGTGCTATGTCCTGGGTGCTGTGTCTCGGGTCACATGCTCCTGGGCTGCCTAAAGGAGCCGTCAGTGCAAAGAGCGTGTCTTGCGTAAGACGGTTGCAGAGGGTGTCACCCATTCGTGTGATGCCATCGGCCGCTTGGGGTTAGCCTTCAATGGGAGGCGGCGAACCTTCGCCCATCGTTATTATTGCATCTGTCTGTCCTTGCCCGGCGCTACAGTACAATACAGAGTTTGAACAGAGGGTGCATTGATGGTCTGAAGTCATCGGGCTCAGTCTATAATAAGCAACGAGGCCCGTGGAAACGATCGCATGCCAGATCTACGTGTTTCCCAGCCCGTGCCGCGGGCGGACGAAGCTCAATCCAATCTAATTACGCCGGGCGCGAGATGGCTGATAAGCTTATTTCGCTCCCGCCGTGTCAGGAGAGAGCTTGAACTGGCCGCCTCCCGCGTGCATCGCCGCGTAAAGTTGCCCTCAAGATCCAGACGCGGGTCTCATGAGTGGAGCTGTCAGTGGGAGGTGATGCTGCTTCGGGTAGCCTGTCCACATCTACGAAACCTGCTCTGATTCGCACGCAGGAGGTTGTTACTACCTTGGTATCTGTCTGGGTGAAAGGTTTCTCCCACGGGCTATTCCACCACACGCGGAAGATGGCTCACAAGCAAGAGGTCGTTTCACAAGAGTTTATCCGGAGGAACATCATTTCCTCACCCGAGATTGGAACACCAGCGCACTGACCGCGCCGAAACCCTGCTGTGGACTGCTTCATCTCACGATGTGAGGTCAGCAGCCGTTTGACCCATCCCCCTCGACCTTGGCTTTTGTGTGGGGTCCATCCTCACTGCCCACCGGCGCAGCAGCGGCGGCGGCACGTCGGCGGTTACCTAGGCACGCCCGTGGCACAGAAACGGCCCCAGATACTGCGGGAGCACCAGCCGGTGGTTGCGCCTTTGCCCGAGTTACATCGCCAGTCCAACGTGGCACACCGTGCGAGGGGGGTTGGAGGGGCGTTTGTTGGTTCGCAAGGCGGGTCGAGCAATGGCTGGGAAATATTCTGGGTTCCTGTGTGCCTTGTTGCGGTAGGCACCAAAATCATTGGCGCTGTGGCCGATCGAGCCAACAATCTTGCGCCCGAGTCCCCATCCGCGGTCGGTCAAGTGGTTGGTGGTGGTTGTTGGTCGGAAAAGGATCGTCGCCTCCTACCCAGGAATTGCGGCCGCCCCCATCCAAAGCTACAGCGTCGCAGCAGAGCATGTCCTGCATGAAACATCTCAATGAGGCTGAGAGGGAATCTTCCGTCCCAAGCCCTGAGCCAAAAAACTTCGGATGGTTGCTCAAGTGTGCAGCTGGACGCCTCGTTTGAGATGACTCTCGACACGAATTCGGTGTGCCCTGGGACACACCGAGTTAATCAAATCACGCTTCTGGGAGACCGAATTCGAGCATTCGCCCAGGTGGAGAATGCTCGCGGTTGGCGCGGAGCGGTGACTGCTTCATCTGATCAGACCACCCGGAGGAAACCAAGGTTTCCAATGGACGCCAAGTAAAATTAGCCTGCAAATCAATAAAGGCCATACAAGTCTCGCAGTAGACTCCGATGCAGTGCGTGGTAAGAAAACCATATTTCGCTAGGCAGAGGGTATTTATTCGTGGAACAGTATGCAGCCTCGAGATCTATCTCAAACCACATGATCGGAGGGGGGCGTGGTGGAAGTGGTCCCCAAATTAGAATTTGGAGCATGGGAAACGAGGCAAAAGGGAAAAGCCCTTTTTTTTTTTCCGGAGGGGGGGATTGTTGAGATTGAAGGGGGGGGGCTGGAAACAAACAAAGGACGTGCACGCGGTCCCGGGGTTGTCGGTCGTTCAAAGAAGGTTGTCATGCATTGGCGGCGCCTGAACCTTAATGAGCTTAATGGCGAGCTTAAATCTTTCGGTGGCTTTTCTGCGTGTTTCTCCCTTTTCGCGTGTTGGACCGGCGCCAAGAAATAAAATCGAGACCAGCCAAACCAACCAACCAACCAACCAACCACCCACAACCAACACCTCCCAACACCAATCAGTGCCAGATAAGGAAGACTTGTTTTCCCGTTTCCCGCCGGCAGGCTATCGCGCCCATTTCATTCTCAGGACAGAGCCTCGGAGGCGGTGCCAAGCCAACACACCCTCAGCCCGTCCTCTGACATCCATTCTTGCCAATAGTTTTATTCGTCTTATCTCTCCGTTGGGGCGTGCGTGGTTGGGGGCAGGGGTGGTCTCCAAACCACTGGGCCGAGTCATGTCCAACACCACCTTGCAACGCATACAACAATGATCCCATCAAGCCGGCTGCAGCGCGGCACAGCAAAGCAAAGCAGTCCATGGGGACACTATCTTTTCGCACTCGTTTTGGGACCATCGCATCTTATTGCCAAGTGCAGTTCGTGCCCAAAGATGCCAGCCAGCCAGCCAGCCAAATGTCCTCAGCATGCATGCACGTGTACGGTGTAACACTTCCCCATGGGCTGTGCCTGCTCACTGCGCCGAGACAGGCTTCGATGGATTGCCCGACAAGCCTTTTCCTCTCACATCTTCGTCTTCTTCTACATCGGGGTCCGATTCGGGCGCGCACTGCGGGCCTGGCTCTTGGCTCCTAGCTCCGGAGCGAAGGCCACGCGGTCAGCTTTCCCATCCCCCACACCCCGGGGGTCCGGATGCGCACGTGTGTGCGCTCGCCCTGTCGTGCTGTTCGTGATCGCCAAACCATCTCCGGGGTCGGTGGTCAGCACGAGACAAAACAGGACAACACGGCCGGTGGATGCATGACCTGAACAGGTTGAGTTTGTTGTTCCGTGGTAGGCTCTCTAGTAGTAAATTAACCCAGAGGAGGCTACCCCAGAGCTGCTCTGTCTCTCGGCATGTGGGTGGTGTGCGTGTGTTGCATCCCGAGACGGACGGTCGTGTCATCTAGCAATGGATGTCATGGCGTGGGTAGGTAGTCACGCCCGCTATCTTGTTGGGCCTGCCACTCGGGGAGCCGGACCGCCCCCAGTCGTTCGCCCCATCGCGACGATAGAGAGGTAGATGACACCGGCTAGATACGACGCCACGTCCATCCGTCGCGGGTCTGTGGGTGTGGGAGGGGATCATGGTCACACTCAACATCTAAATCTGACCCAAGATCCGATGCGAGCCTGCCGAGTCGGGCCCCAACATGCCGAAGGATGTCCCGGAATTGTCAAAAAAGCATGTCGGCTCCTCTCCTCGGGACCTTTTGGCGTTCTGGCGTGTCTGTATGTGTGTATGTGTGCGTGTGCGTGCCGTGCGCCAGCCCTCACGCCCGTGGTGCCCACCACACCTTCGCGTAGGCAGTGGCTGAAGATGTCATGGCGTCCGCCTTGTCCTTGGCCGTGCGGGATCGGTCAGATTGTACGATGGGGTCCTCCTGCTCACCAACCACTGAAAAACCCGGCCGGCACGAAATGGCCTGGCCTCTGCCCGACTACGATATACAATCTCACCCGTGTTACTGGCCGGGCGTTGGCCTGAGCAGTAAAGTAATATACGTGGTAAGCCGATGTGGGTGATGAAATGCTTATAATAGTGTCACTCGTGTGTCTCGGCTAGCCGCGTGTATCGAGCGCAGATAGTTGTACACGCCCGCGGAATTGTGTCGCCGCGCCCGCCCGTCTGCCTCTGTGAGACCATCAGATCGGCATATTGGGCGGGGATGACGACGAATAGCTTCCAACGGCCTTACTTTTTCTTGTTCTTTTCTGCCTTGCTGCCCTTAGGGCGCGGCAGGAGGAGAATACTAGTGGGGGCCTTCTACCCGTCGTATCCAGGTCACATGCAGCCCTCGTATGGCCGGCCCTATTAAAAAAGGGCTGATGCAGATGGTGACACGAGGCTTGTACCGATGTGATCAGGCTTTCTTACGTGGGGATGCACCTAATTACTAAGGCGAAGAAGAAAAAGAAAGGAAGACAAGAGATGGCGTAGGCGGGCAGCCCTACGGAATGAGATAAAGTTGTCGGCCATGTTGTGCGATTCCTTGTTACATGCATGTCAGATTTGGATCCTCGGTGTAACACCACATGCCGGCTTGGGGAGGTAGTGGGCGCCAAGGTAGGGCTCGGAACCTGCACTGGTTCGCTCGCATATATGTGCCGGCTTTGTCAGATTTTCCCCCCCCCCCCCCTTTTCTCAAATTGATGCTTCGGGGCGTTTGTGTGTATGCGTGTGTGTGTGGGTGCGCATGTGCGTGCATATGCGACATGCAGTCAGATATCTGCGGCGCAACGAACGGATGCGGCAATGCGGCAGAGCACGAGGAGCTGACTTTGACCTTCCGCTTGTGGCTTCGAGATCTGACAGCCTTACTGTGTACGTAGGCGAAGGAGAAGGGGGGGGGGGATGACGGAGGCGTGGCCTTACTCCAGACACCTGCGGTGTTTGAAAAACACACCACAACCTGTTTAAAAATATCAAGGGTCGAATCTACAACTACTGCTGGCGGTCATCTTTAACAAAGCTTCTCTCGATGCCGCATGCCGCCGCATCATGCTGCTTGCCGACCCCCCCCCATGCTTACCTACACGTATAGAGAATGGTCCCATGCTGCTCCTGCGTGGGCCTGGCTGGCACCTGGCCAGCCAATATTGGTGAGCAGGAGGAGCGAGGAAGGAGTTCAGGCAACAGCTGCCCTCCTTCCCAGGACGCCGCACTGTGATTCCTTGTCTCATCGTGGTACGATGCCGGAGCTGCGAGGCTCTCGGCTCGGAGAAAGAAATTACCTGAGCAAAGAATGCGGCTCACGGCACGAGACCACACCACCCACACGCACAGTGTGAGCCCTGGCATGGGGCCGAGGAGATCCGACACTTTCCGTACTGAGACCTACAGTAGTCTACGTGCTGTGCTGTGAAGTCGGAAATCGTGGACCAGTGGAGAGAAAGAGAAGGCCTCTTGTCTCGCAACACCCTGCCTGCACGTCACAAAAGCGCTCAGGTTCGAAACCTTGGTGGTCCACAGCAGCAGCGAGTGCCCTCGCTTTCTGGGAAATCCTCGGGAGTTTAGGAACCAAAGGTTTAACTGACAACTGTACTGTAGGACCCGCACGCGTCTTCCGCCTGCACAAACGAAGCTTAGGTTTTATTACGCTTCAATTAAAGAAAAATTTTAAGCTCGCTCGCTTGCTTAATACGGGGGGGGGGGGCTTGGCAATAGTTCCCAAATTCGACCCGCCTGCCCGCCCGCCCGCCTGCCCGCCGCCGCCGCCGCCGCCGCCGCCGAGATGATGGTGGTGGCTATAGGGTGTCCGAGGAAGGGGTTTGGCGCCGGCACCAATTCCTTTCACGGTCGCATCCAACCTAGCTCCAGCCAGGGAGGAAAAGAAAAGGATGCCGCACATCGCCTGACCGCTGTGGTCTGGGGTCTGGGCAGGGCCGATGGAAGGGAAGGAAGCAACCCAACCCATTGGCTTTTCCGCACCTGCTCACGCCGAGGGGCCGCTTGGAGCCAAGTCTGACATCAGGGCTCGCTTGGTATCACCAGATCTTCGAGGGCCAAGAGGGGAAGGGGGAGTCTGAGGGGAGCGACGGCGGCCTACACGGCAAAACACACCTGTCAGTTCTCGTCTTGGCCCTTTGCTCGTCGACCCAGTTATGCCGGACGTGCATGAGACGGGGGCCGACTATCATCATCCAGCCTGCCAGCCAGCCAAGGTTTCCTTGGAAAGGTGACCACAACAGCCTCCGTCTCTCACCTCATGGTGGAGTTGGGGGACAGACATGCTCCCCCCTCCGGCCCCGTCAGCGGGCCCCCTGTCCACTGAGATAGAGGGAGAATCCTGTGCTTTCTCTCGAGAGCGCATGTCTGCAAAGGTCCCCCCATCCCCCTGCCTGCCTGTTGTTCCCTGGCATCTGCCGCCGCTCCTAATCCCGACTTGCAGAACAAGCTTAATTCGAGGACTTGTTTAGCGCGGAGCCAAGGGTGGAGCGCCAATGTGTGCGCATGGACTTGTCCGCACTGAGGTAGGGAAGGGGGGTCCCACTATGATCTGATGTGGTTTCATACCAGCTTATTTTCCGAGATTGATCCTGCCTCCAATGGTCCATCGCCTGGAGGAGCGTTCGGACTGGCAACCCGGGGGGGGGGGAATGGCGAGACGATATCATGTGGTTTGGGCCACTGAGACCATGATCGGAGACAATTGATTGAATAAATGCGGGCAGCTATAGTAGTGTCAGCATCATATCGCGAGTGGCTTGGGACGGCTTCCGGATGGCAGCACTCTGATACCAGGGGGGGCCTCGTCAGGCGTGGGCTGTCACAGTACCAAGTTCTCGGTACAAGTCCTTGGCACAGAAGGAGAGAGAGGGAGGGCCAGCAGGGAAAGCGGCATTTGCCATGTGGGTGCTCAGTGTGTGTGATGAGAAAGGGTGTCCAACCGAGCGGAGCCGCTAGAGGTCAAGCTTACGCGGCCCTCTTCAATAAAAAGGATCCAAAAAGCCAGCCACTCCGGTAGGGTCCGGGTCAATTTGTGCCCCCCCGGCGCTGGCCCTAAGGTTGACAGCATCCTAACGCCGGCCCTTGCGACGCCTCAAATGCGACGCTGGTAGATTCGCCCCATACGACGTCCTGCTAGGGCCATCTAAGTGTCGAGATGGCCAGCGGCCGTGGCTACCCTTTCAGGGCATGTAAAGCGAGAGATACTTCCTCGACCAACATGTGACTCAGGACGTGCGTGCTGGAGATAGATGCGCGACCTTTGGAAGCATGATAGTTCGACGGGGCTTTCGATAGATCTCGGCCAGGCTTCTGAGGTCCGAGGAGGTTGGATGAAATTAGGGTTTGCCATGCAGACCCTCGAGGAGCCCGCAATTCCTGCTCATGTTCTCCCCGTGCCTTCCATACGAGACGCCAGGGCAGAAGAACTCCAAACCAAAGTCGAAACGAGGTCGTTTCCACAGCCCGGCCGCTTTCATCTACCTGCCCAGAACATTAATCTCGTCTATCGTGCAGCACAAGATTAAGCTCGGGCGCCCAATCTGCACGCCCTGCATAAAGGCAAAGTCAGGACATAGGAAAGCATCGTCCAGTCTTTCCTTGCATAAAACCCCGTCAGGGACTACCGCCGCAAGTCGTCACCACCGCTCCATCTAGGGAACTGCAGGCGAAGCTTTTCCAGAAGCATGTGAGACGTTGACAGGGCAAAACGTGCTCACGTATAGTGATAACCCTTCACTATAACCCTTTCTCAAACCCTCGATCAGCGCGAATAGGTTGTGCCCGTCCCCCAGTCCACACACCAAACCAAGCCGCGTCAAAAGATTGATCTTCGTCTGAGCTTGTTTAAACTCTGTCGCTCACCCGTTTGATCCCATCCTAGCGCCCCTCGGGCAATGGGAACACATGCACACTATCTCTCCCACCTTTCCCCAGTCTCGAGACACCCCCTTTCGTCTTGGCTGCGGAATCTCCGGATGATCCCCTCCAAGAGGCCTGAGCTCCTCGCGTGAACCGCCAAGTTTCTTGGGTTCGTAGATCATCGATTTGCTCATCCTCTGTTCATTAGCTGCCCCTCTTCTTATCGGAGTCTCGAGTGCCGTCCACCATCCCGACCTGTCTCTCGTTGTGCACAAGAGGTACCAAGACCGATGCGATCGTCGGGAATGGGCACGCTTGGAATGGGACGCATCGACTCATGTCCAGAGGGGTCTGACCTGATCACAGCACCTACCTGGAGCATAAGCCAAACAAGCGATGCATGGTGAATGTAAAGCCTAGATAGATAGGCGCGCGCTGTGGCCTGGTGGTTTGGAGTTGTGAACGTAAAGTATCGCCTTTTCTCTCCTGCAACCCGGGGAATGCCCAGCCGCAGGGTCGAGACCTACGCATAGTCGTGGCATTGAACGAGTTGCTATTTCAGCTCAATGGCGAACGCTGTCGGTGACATCATAGGCTTAACTTTGTCATGAACTCAATTGTATATGGCGAGGAGCCTAGGTCAGTTCCAAAAGACCAAACAAGGTTCACTTCTGCGGTAGCTCCCGCCGCCGCCGAAGGGATGATCGAGGTGAGGTACAGGCGATGTACTGTATAGTTTCGCCTGCAAATATGCACAGACAGTGCATTGCTTTAGATCCCCGAGATGGCGACTCATGGCCTAAGCGCTGCATAAGAATGAAGTTATTGTCATCGGCGGTCAAAGTCTTGGATGATTTAGCCCTCCAAGCTCGCGGAGTCCGTGAAACTCCCAATCCCGAGACGCCACGATGCTCGATTATGTGGACAGCCACCTGGCTAATCATCGTCCGACCGTCGCTGCCCACGTCGGGATCTTGAGCTGTCCGCCATTTGCTGTTTCTGGCTGCATTGCTAGCCGGTCCGCTTGACAGATAGTCAGCCGGCATGCATTAATCCCCGCGACGACAGACAATGGCAGTTGAACAAGCTTTGCGAGATTTTCCCCGGTTGGGGCTGAATGAGTGTCAATAGACTTCACCAGACTACTGATGTACGTCCGATACGAGACGTCCAGCGGCTTGTTCTTGCAATTCCTGACTAGCAGGTAGCCCTTGTCCGAGGAATGCTCTTGAACATCGCCTTCGAGTCCGTTGTCAACGATGACTGCCCGACTACGTACACTCGGATGTGTCGGACATCGGTCATTGACACGCGTGATTGACCGCCGAGCCACGAGTGATTCGTGTAGACGGCCACGAGTTCGCGGCGAATCCACATTCGTAGAGCTAATTGTGACGATTCCCAAGACTGTTCCACTCGCACGTTCGGCTGGCTGTCCCACGTATAACGCCAGTGCGAAAGTCTCGCTAACACACGATGCGGTCGCGAGGGACAAAGTCAACTGGCAGTGCCTTAGTGAGTTGGCGGATGTTGCTTAGCAAGCAGAGCATGACCTGGCTTCAGGCCACTATCGCCGTAGATCACAGGTCTTTCCGAGCCCAGCGGCCTCAACCACTCCACCTTACAGTTTGACTTGGCGATGCTCAGCTGTCGTGGGTCACACGTCTGGAAGCGACAAACCGAGGGTTGTCCGATACTCTCTCCAGGACAGAACCTGACAGTGAATTCGAAGCAGAACTACTGCTCCATGCTTCCGAGTGCTGGCAGTGCCATCCTTTAGATCAGGAGTTGTTGGGACGACTGTATAGACCCAGACTGTGCAACGGGAATAAGGAAATTGGGACGGGACGAGATGCTAACGCCTGAGGCTTGTGAACTGGCACAAACTGCCAAAAAGCAATTTCGTAGAGCCGCATATCTGCTTTGCTGTAAATATGCTGAGCTCTCGGCCTCTAACATTGGATATCCCACGCGAGGCTGATAATTCCAGCGAGCCCCTAGCAAAAGTGAGCCACTCGGCGCGACGGCGAAAGAGGATGGAAGGGGATCGGCGACTCGCTTTCGGCCTTCGAGTCAACGGCGAACAAAGAGGTGAGATGTACATTATCGAGATATTGTACATGATGGTTTTAGTCCCGGGTCGGAAACGGGAATGAATTCGGAGTACGCGATGATAGATTATGACAGCATTTCCACGAGGGACGACACCCCAGATCAGGGCGAAGACCTTTCTCACCAACCCGTGAGCAATATCACGCGGCAATGTGCAGCCGTACCGCTTGCTTACGGGAATTTATTCGTAGTAAGGCCGTAATCTCTCGAGGGGTCGCACGAGGACGTCGCCCGGAAAGCATCTCGAAACCTGTCATCTGCAAGCCTCGTCCTGAAGCCTTGCAAGGACAAGAAACGGTCTTCCATAATCCTCGCAAGGAAGGCTGCATGGTTATTTGCCAGCAAGACATGAGTGGCGCGGTGTTGCAGGACTCGGTTATTGTGGTTGGTAGCACGATCGGTCCTGGTCATCCCAAGTAGGTAAGCTTTGACGAGCACAGCATGGAAATCTGTCCAGATGGCCCGATCTGCGCCCGAGTCCGTCCAGATCCAGCGTGCCTGTGTCCCACTCAACAGTCGCACCGACCGTACCAACGGGGAAAGGTCACTGTGTCCCGGATGCTCTGGACCCCAGCAGATAGCTGAGTAAACGGTCGAAGCCGAGTCCAAAACCCCCGTGAGGAGGACATCCCCAACGCCGCAAGTCGACATACCAATCCAAGCTGCCGGGCGGCGGCATAGGGTCGTCCACAGTCGGAGGGCTGGTGTTGTCCAGAGAAGGTGTGGCCATATTGTGCTTTTTCATGGAATCCAAGAGCTGTGGCAGGCGATGCTCACGCATCGAGCCGCCGGCAATCTCGCAATATTCTGGCACCAGGAGATCAAAGCAGTCGGCGGTACGGCGGGTTGCTGATCCGGTTTCCGGAGTTGCACGCATGTAGAAGGGCTTAATTTCTGATGGGTAGTCGGTAACAAAGACCGGCTTCCCCTCTCCAACCACGCGGGCGATGTGCTTTTCGTGTTCTGACTGAAGCCCTGCGGCCCACGAAGGCGGCTGCTTGAACGATTGAGCGTCTCTCTCCAGAATGTCGACGGCTTCAGCATACGTCACACGTGGCCAAGAAGGCTGCATCATTCCCTGCCATCTTCTGGCGACTTCTTCTGGCGAGGCTCTGTCAGCAGCGCTTTCGCCGGACGCCCTGTCTTGGCCTGGGGATCGAAGCTCCTGAGCCACCCGAGACTCGTAAAGACTTGTGGTCATACATCGTAGCATGTCTTCGACAACATCCATGACGCCACCCAGCTGATCCACAAAGCTCATCTCCGCCTCAAGCATGTAGAACTCGCTCAAGTGTCTCGACGTGTCGCTCTTCTCTGCGCGGAACGTCGGGGACAAAGTCCACACATTGCCGACAGCCTGTGCGAGTGCCTCAAGATGCAGCTGGGTTGATACAGTGAGATATTTGGGGGCTCGGAAGAACGAGTCGGCCGCCTCACCCTCGTCTTGTTCCGCAGGGGCGACCTTGAAAACCTCTCCGCCGCCTTCACAGTCAGAAGAGGACAGAATAGGAGGGTGAGTCTGGACGAATTCACGAGTGGCAAAGAACTGGGTCAATGCCGCGATGCTTTCGGACCGAAGCCTGAGGAGTGCGGAGTTGAAAGGAGTTCTCGGCCGAAGATGAGGTATCGTTCGCAAGTACTCAGGGGTTTGGTACTTCTTCTGAATCGGAAATGTCTGAAGGCGAGGATGGTCAGTCACAGAACATCTCAGGCTTGCCGAAGTCTCAGCAGGCTCGCAGAGGGAAAACAGGCGGGACGGCAATGCACCTTGGGGTCGGAAGGACCCAGGACTTGGACGCTATCGACGTGGAGCTCATGGGACTGGCCGGTGCCCTTTGAGGGAACCCAGGCCCCGGTGAGACGAACGGCGGCTCCGAGGGCGAGACTGTGTAGAGACGACGCGTCAGTATGAAAAGTGTCAGCCCGAGACAAGCGGTCTGGAAGAACAATCCGCACCCTTGGGCCTGGTTCGTGGGCACGAGGGCTTGCAGAGAAGCAAGGGAGGAGCCGTCTCCAAGGGCGACAAAGGAGCGCGACTTCATGGACCGCACCGAGCGGATGAAGCCATTAACGACGACATCGCGGACCTCTTCCTGGGGCTTCCACTCGAGAAGCCTCGCAACGGACCTAGAAGCAACGTTGCCACTGCCACTTGTAACGTATCGACGCGTCAACGGCGAGAACGCTGGACGAGACGCGACGGTTGCTGTGCTCCTCAACGGCAAGTGCCTGGCAGCGAGCGCCAAGTGGAATGCACGCATGTCTCCGCCAGGAACTGGGTCGAGGGTGAGGTGGAGCAGGATCAAAGGCGGGCGGAGATTCAGTGAGATGGACGCGTGATCTGCATCGTATCGGCCTCACGTTACCTCGACATGATAATTCGCTCGAGTGACGTCTTTGGCAAACTTAGACTCTGCCGCAGGGTGCAGGTGCAGCTCATCAGCGGGAAAAGAAACTCGGGCGTGTTGGACGTTACGTAATTCACAAGTATGCACAGACCATTCCCTTCGTCAGACCGTTTGCAAGATAGAGACCTCATTACAGGTAGACTACACAGGACATGCACCCACCCATCCTGCAAGCCAAGCAGGTGCATATTTCGACCTCAGTTCATATTGGGACTCGCTGTCAAACGCCATTTATGATGTTTGGGACCCAATTGTATCGTCACGAAGGTGGTGATAGGACAATTCCCGCGAGCACAGACCGTCTTGCCTGAAAACGGTCTCCGGCCAACCACACCACGGCAGCTTCATATCTGACCGAATCGACCAGGGCGTCGACGTGCTTCGCTACCACGCCGGCAAGGTGCTTTGCACTGCCTTTGCACCGAAGTCTTGCTGCAAACTCAGATTGAAATTCTCCAGTACATCCACAGTGTCCATCAGGCTCACGCGTAGACGAGTTCCTCGTCCTCAAACTGGCCGGCCGAGAGCGGTGTCGCTGGTGTTGGGAGACAGACGGCTGCAGATCATTCCTGTTTTCTTTGCTACGCACCAGGTAATATCAAGATCCCTTTGTCTTCCATTCTATTCCATCACATATCACACGGAAGGGAGCATTTGCCAACGGCGTGAGCCTCTCTTCCGCGAATGCCGCGCGACCATTTCAGTTCCAGCGAGTTCGTCCTGGCCCAAGGCAAACGGAGACTCGCTGCTCCAGTCCCGTGGAGTATATTACTTGTCAAAAGTACTTAGCATCTGGCGGGTGCCGCCGTCTCGCCCGGTCACGGACTCAACTTGCCAAGCCCTGCCGGGAGAAGTGGCCCAGGGGAGGCTCTACGTGCTGGTGCTAGGTTGGGCAGGGCGAAGCTGGGCTGTGCATGTTGACTGCCCTCTCCTTCACGGCAGGCGGCCCGGAGCTTGATCTCTGTGATTGTGCTACAAGTCACTGTCAAGCTGTTCCCATCAGGTGGCCTTGAAATGCTGCAGTGGACGCTGTCCAGGGCAAGCAGGTCGAGCAGGCCAGTGTGGTTGGCCGTCCACCCCCGAGCTGCTGGGACTGACTGTTGGACGTGACTGTCACAGACTGCGGGCAAGGTCTCGTCGTTTGACACTCGGCCTGCAGCGGCTCCACTGGAACGTGCTATGTGGGACGTCCCAGGCTGTCGGATTCGACTGGTGGCCTTGGCTCGCAAACAGAGGGCGACAAGCTTCCTGATTCGGTCCTCTGCCCTTGCGAGCGGCCGGATTCGTTTGGGCAGATGACCTTGTTCTTCTTTTCGAGGGATGCTGAGCGGCGAGGCACTAGCAACAGCCAACAAAAAAACACGGACCCTTTTTTTTCTATCCCCTCGTCTTTTTCTCGTGAAGAATACAAACCAGAAAACCGTTGTGTGGCTCCTCGCTAAACCCCATCTGTTCGGCAAGACGCCCCTTCACACTATCGACCGGAGCCGCCATCCACTCGGCCGCTAGACGTGTGCCGTTTCCTATTGTTTCATTGCAGCGTTGACCTGCAGAAAGACAAGGCAGGAAGAGGAGGGGCCCCGGGGAACAGATCACAAAGCAGCCAAATCCAGATCTGGTGTAACAGACGGCAGATTGCAGTAGCAGGTCGCGGACGGCCGCCTGCAACCTCATATCACTCTCTGAACCCGCCAACCATGAATTTGGATCAGGTGGTCCTACGCCAATCTGCTGCCTTGTTGCTCGCACCATAGCGAGCGCCGCAGGAGAGGCAGCCCCGGGACAAAGGGCTGTGTATAAACAGCTCTCAACAACTCGCCCTCGTGGCTCGTCACCACTGTTGGGCCTCCCGTTGAATGTTCAAGACATGAGTGGATATGTTCAAGCACCCCGGTTACACCGGCGCCTTGAACAGTCTTTGATTTTTCGCTTGGGATGGTCCGTCCTTGCCCGCTCCACGCCCACCGCTGCCGAAAATCGAAGACATATCTGCAACCACACCCGCCCGCGGTTTGTGTCTGGTTCCCGAGCCTGTTTAAAGCTGAGCAGTTATATAATGGGCTGACCCAAACCGTCCATCGATGATCCTCTCCCCAACGTGGCCCTCCAACACCAACTGACACTCCTTTCTTGTTCTTTTCTCCCCCATCCCCCCTTTCTACCGCCATTCCTGGTGATCACGGCTGATCAGTACCGCTCTCCTCCTGTTTGACGCCGCTGCTCGCAACTACAACCCACGGTGGTCATTGAAGGAGTCCGGTTCTGACAAGATGCCGCCCGGTAGCTCGTCCAGATCGTCCAAGCCAAAGCCCTCGGAGGTGGCTGCCCAGACCAAGAGAAACACCATCCCTTACATTCGCAAGCACTACGCCAACACATGGCCGCTGTATTCCTACCTCTTTTCGAACCCACTGAGCTTCACACCAGATCAGTTTCCACAGAGGCCCATGGGTCTCGCAAACCCGACCTTCTGTACGTCTACACAACCGGGGCTCCGGCCTTTTGGGTACACGTTGTGCCTGGTTGTACCGCATGGTCTCACTAACACGCATTCTAGGGATCCACTCGGATGATCCCGTGGATCTTGCAACGAGCTGGTCAGCGCGGAACAACAACACAAGGGTAGCATTCATCTGCGCCGCCAACGAAAAGAGGCCCGGCGGGGACTGGGAGACAGGCGTCGTGGGCTACGAGGAGCGCCTGTGCCGGAGGAGCACGCTGTCCGCCACGATCGCGACGCCGGGCCCCGCGTCCTACGTGACCGGGAGCCACTACCCCCTGCCCTGGGCGGGAGGCATCTACTCTGACAGGGTTGGTAAGTCAAAGGCTCCTCTCTCGTGACTTTACAAACCGAACGCGGGATCTGTTGGCCCCTTCTTCGCTAACAACTGTTGTGTGCGAACGGGACAGTCGTCTTCCGCGGCCCGCACGACAGGTACGAGGAGCGCAAGCTGGAGGATTGGCGGGCGCTGCCGGTGGTGTCGGTGACGCCCATGTGCCGGCCCAAGCTCAAGGAGGGCGGGGCCAAGTACTCGTTCGACGACGAGCGCGAGATGGCCAAGAACAAGCTGCGGGCGGCGCTCAGCATCTGCGCGTACAACGACATCCGCAACGTCGTCATCGGCGACTTCGGCCTGGGCAACTGGTACCGCAACCCGCCGCAGGAGATGGCCGAGCTGTGGCGCGAGGTCTTCCTGTGGGACACGAACCTGCGCGGCAGGATCGAGAACGTCGCCTTTGTCTTCGAGGACCCGACCCAGAGCACGATGCGCCTCATCCTCGAGGACGCGGCCAAGAAGAACAAGGGTGGTGGCGGCAGCAGCAGCAGCTCGGGCAAGGGAAAGGGCAAGTCGTCCAGCTCGTCCTCGGTCCCCGCCTGTCCGACGGACATGGCCGTCTTCGAGCGTGTCTTCAACCCGGCCGAGATCCAGAGAGTCACCCAGCAGCCTGACGGCAGGATGGGGCTGGGCAATCTTGTGTGTTAGGCCAAGACCTGCACACACGTCAAGAGCTGGAGACAGCAGGAGGCAGTAGGCTGGATGTTGGTTGTGGCTTATTTTGGCTGGTCCGGTCAAGGGACTTGGACGCAGGATGCCGCACATTCTGGCTTGTATTGGGTTTCTAATTCTGTCGGGGATGGGAACTATTCGTTCGTGTCTTGATACTCGGTTTCCCTGGGATTCTCAAAAATTGCTCCGGCTGGTGGCTGGCCGACCGGCCGATTGCAGTTACTCTACTCTATTACTCTTGCACACTAATCTAACAATTTGACGTCTTTTCTTTTTCCTCATTCCAACCGCCGTGTCAACTCGAGTGTCTCTCCTGGATGCTTCACCGCCTACGTCAGCCTCCCATCTGTCCCACCGTGCTCTCAGGGCTGCAGGAATGCAGGCCCTATCCAAGATCTGTGATCTGTGGCGTTCCTCCTAGGAGCATTGTGTTTGTGTGCGCGCGCGTAGTGTATATGTGTGGTGATGGCAGTTCAAGGCATGCGGAACGACGTCGTACCCGAAGCGCCTCCAGCCTCGACTGCTTATGCGGTGTAGCCAAGGAGGCTGAACCGTCTGAGACGGGTTGAGCTCATGTGACCTCGCCTAACTGGGGGTCGATTTCCACGGCCCACCCACACACATCAACTTGTCTGAGTCTCGGACTGCTGTCGCGGAAAGGGGCGCCTGTCTCTGCTGACACGAGTGGTGGATTGATTGATTGATCGATTGACCGTCCGATCCTCCCCTGTGCCTCGACGGGTCTGACAAGTTCCCATTGCAGCCGTAACGTCTCTTCCAAAAGTAAACGCGCATCACTAGTTCACCATGCGAAGAAGGAAAATGCCACATACAGCCCGGCGGGTGGTGGCATGACGTTGCTTTTCTCGGACCAGGGTTCCTGTGCTGTGGGCAAACCAGGGAACGAGTTGCGGAGACGGATGGGTTGATGCAGAATAAAACGCAAACAGGCAGCCTAGACCACCGCAGACGGGCACAATCTAGTAACGGCTTCGAGCGTGGAATCGGCGCTTGCAGTCATGCCCCTTGCGCTGAGACACTGATCTGGGAAAACTCGGGAGGCGAGATGGATCAATGCTGACGTTTGTCTGCAATGAGATGAGCATCAGCACATCGATGAACGAGAAGAAGTGACGTTGAGCCCGGTTTGTCCCTTGAACTATATAGAGTGTGTAGAGAGTCTCTGAATAGTGTTCAGGCTAAGACTGCACTGGGAATCCAGCTGTCAGATCTCATGAGAGACGGTGAGAATGGTCTGCCTCATGGCCTTGACCACGACACACTGGCCAAAGATAACAAATCATAGCGGTGAAGACATCGAAGTGATGCTCGACTGTCTCAGATTGCCGAGACGTAACTCAGGCCACAGATTCACAGTCCCATAAGCACGGTTAGAATCTGGATGACCTGGTGTAAGCGATATGAGAACCTGTGTCCAACCCACCGAGGCGAGGTGAGGCTCGGGCAAAGGGGTCCGTCATTCCTGCAGATAAGAAGACACGATATCCCTCCTGATCGTGGACCGGTGAGCATAGACAGATGTGCCTCATGTTGACTCTGAAGCACATGATGACGGTGTGATGTGCTGGCTGTCTCTAGTGGCAGCGCAAAAGTGCCGAACATTAGAGTGTGGCTTGCCTTGACATAATTCTCCAGCGCTACGACAGCAGAAGACACGACAAGACGAGACACACGACACACACCCTCGACCGCTTCGTGTGCCCCCCACCCCACCTCTCCCACCAGGATGAGCAGAAGAAAAGGAAAAGAAGAGGGATCGTCGGTCGTTTCTGGCGGAACGTAGCGCAAGAGTGAGATCGAGTCGCACCGATCGTGCATGTCGGGTCGCACGACGGGGAGGTCCTACGGCCTGAAGGAGGCTAAGCGATCCATGCATCAAGCCTCGATGCATTCCTGAGCCAGGCAGGGCCTCGTTCGGGGCCAGCATGCACACACACACCCAGTGCATGTGTGGGGGGGAGGGGGGAAGGGGGATTGCGTCCTTCACACGATGATTCTGAGACCACTGGATCGAAATCGGCGTCAGAGGAGGAGAGCCACCAGAGACGAGAGCAACACAGTGTGCAGACCTGGGCCCATCGTCGTGTGCAACGTAGCAGCTCAACGTCGAGAGGGGAGACACACACACACACACCCACACACGCTCGACTCACACTCGGAGATTATAAGACAAGTAGAAGAGGGAAAAAAACCCAACGACTTGCACAGCCCCCCATCATCCAACGGTCGCCTAATGCAGGGTAATGTGTGACAGCGCGAGACGCAGATTGACATGCAAGATGCGACGCCCTCGTCACCGTCCACTTGTCTCTCCCCCCCACCCCTGGCCCTGCTCGACGCGACTGCCCCATCCATCTACCTGTATTAATTATTGTTTGACATTTCCCCCATTTCTCTCTCTCTCTCTCTCTCTCTCTCTCCTTACCTCCTGCAGACACACGCACGTAGGGGATGAGGATCCGGCGATCTACCAGGGCAGCCTGCATCACGACGCGGCACACCAATACGCGCATATATGCACCATCACCAAGTGAGCCTCTCTTTACTTCTGCCGCCCTGCTTCCCTTCTGGGAGAGGATATTTGCTTTTTGGATCCGATTCTTCGCTCCTCCTTCCTTCTTCGTCGATCGGAAAAAAAAGATTCGATCTTTCTTGTCCGTCCGTCTGACCGTCCGTCTGCCCCACTCACGCATCTATCCAGCCCAGGCACCGACCGGGAGGACTAGGAGGAGCTCGATCACTTGTCTCATCCTTCCCTGCCTCGCCCGGCTGACAGCTCACTCACCCACCGGAGGAACAACCTGCCTGAAATCCCGCCCCAACGGACTGAGTGACCGACTGACCCCACTGGTCTCTCGCTTGTTGGCATGGGCTGGGATGACTCTTCAGTGGAACCCTGTCGCGAGAACAATGTGCGGCGTGATATCTCTCTGCTGCTTAGGTACAGGACCGTTGCGGTGCAACAGGCGTGAGTGTCTTGTCCGTATCCCCCCTCCCCTCGAGTGCGACAGTCACGAACCTGTAAGATTCCAAAACCAGACAGAAGTATACGACGCTCAACAACGTCCGGTCCTGTCAATTTGCACCACTGAATGCAAGCTGATTGCCCCGGGATGGAAAGGGGGTCTGAAAAAATCTTGTGATATTTGATTTGCACCGTCATACTGCCGGCTATATCATACGGCAACATATACTTCCCAAGTCAACGTCACCATCGCTTTGCAATATTTTTCACCCAACCAGGCACGACTCCGAGTGAAGATAAAAGCATCCCATAATGTGCACCGCCTCTCTCTGCGATGCAAATACTCTGACACCCTCTTCCAGCACCACGGCGCTGGTGGGTTCTACCAGTAGGCGGGCCGCAGACCGGCAAAGGTGCCCATGGCCGAGTTCTCCATCTCGACCTCCTTCTTGCGCTGACCCGCGAGCTCGAGCTGCACCATGCGGTGGATGTTGACGAGCCAGTCCACATACGACTGTGCCTCATTATTCCTGGTCGCCATGTTAGCAAGTGCTCTTTCGTCCTAGTCACGTCTTGTCACGTCTTGTCACGTACCTGTCTTCAACTAGCCCGCGCGCCCATTCGTACTCGGCGCCATCGATGCCCTGCCTTGCGAGCTGGACAGTGAAGCCCTTGGAGCCCCTAAGCGTCTTCCAGAACTCGATGATATTCCGCACTTGTGCACTCAGAAGCGTCTCCAACACTGGCAGGTCGCTCGTGTATGCATCGAGGCTTTGTAGTGTCGTCTTGTCCTCGCCGAAGAGATCCTGGATGAGATTCGGCGACGTCTGCGCGTGGAACCACAGGATGCACTGCTGACCATTGTCCATCAGGTACACACCGCCGGGCTCGACCTTGCTAAAGGTGTTGCGCATCGTGGGCGGCAGCTTGAGTTGGCCTGTTGATGGGTCCGCAAAGCCTTCAGTCTCCTGGAAGTTGTGCACGGCTATCATGCGCGGGTAGAGGTACAAGCTCATCTCGAGGCAGCCCATCCCACGGATCATTCGCATCTCGTGCACGCGTCGGTCTGAGGTCTCGTTACCGCCCTTGAAAGCCCTGCACTTAATCATGCCGAGCATATACATGCAGAGCTCCTTGAGCTTATCCGGCATGACGAGCTGCGCCGGTGGGTACGACTGCGAAACAAAGTGCTTCCTGTAGCCGGCCATCACGTCGATGGTCTTCTCCTGCAGTACGAGCCTGATGTCCTTCAATGAGGCTGACGTGCTTGCCAGTTTTGTTGCTGCTTCCTTGGCGATGATCGACACGACGGCGTCTTGGTCGACAAACTTGATGCTCTCCTTGGCATTGTCACTGACACTGGCCACGATATTGCAGCACCGCACTCTGCGCTCGCCGTTTGCGGTGGTGTACAGCAGCGCCGACTGGAAGTGAGCATCCAGCTTTGAGTCTAGCTTGCCGTCGTGGCTGAAAGTGACACCAATTGCCCTGTCCGCATCAATGCTTCCAATCTCGAGGTCAGCACCAAAAGTGTGCTGGATGAAGTTTCCGTGGTATCCAGAAACTTGCAAGCCATTGGAGCACCTCACTTTCATGAGGGCTTCGTAACCGGTCTCCCGGGTGACTGCATGTTTTACCTCGAGAGACAGCTTGGCATTGTCTCTTCCGTTCACAAAGTTCGGATAGTAAAAGGTCTCACCGCCGGTGATAGCAGAGACGTAACCTATCGTGGCAATGTCAAGATAGCCCCCAGTGGGTGCAGCAAGGAAGAAATCGGCTCCGACTCCGGCGGCAGCCATTCTCTCGGCGAGTTTCCTCCAGCCAGGGTGCTCAGTCGTGAAGAGCTTCTTGTCGATCTCGCCACCTGGATGCTTGCCATCGTCCCTCATGAACAGACGGCCAGGGCCCCATGTTGGCAACGCTGATAGTGAGCAGATGATCTTGCCTCCGGTCTTCTCGAGAGACGAGACGGCTGAGTTGAGAGTGGACAGCAGGGCGGGTTCCGGGTTCTTGATGGCTGAGAACATCTGTGGTAATCTTGTGAGCAGAGACGAGATGACAGCCCTATGCCATGGTCAGCGTTTTGCCTCTGAACGAAAATAAGCCACAACAGGGTTCATACTTTGACTCATGGGGGTCAACAAACAGCCCATCGCTCAGGGGTACGAATGGATCCTCGATATCGGGCATGATCATCATTTGAGCTTGCTCCAACGCGGCCTGAAGTTTACAGTCAGCATCAAAATCAGGCAAGATGGCCTCCAAGACTCACACTGCAGTTGTAAAAGTGCACCTCCTTGTCGTAAGTGACAAAGCCAACCCTCGAGTTGGGGGGTATTCTCGGTTTTGTTTCGCCGTTCTCATCTTTCTCCTCTGATTCGTCCGTACCGTACAGAGTGGCCAAAATGCCATCACAGAAAGCCTCAAGGTAACCCTTGTTGAAAGCCTCCTGGGTTACATCGATGACAAAGAGCCACCTCAGGCCCACTGGCTCCCTATTGTAGTACTCCTTGGGGCACACAAACTCGACTGTGCCGCGGCACAGCTCCGGCCGCTGGTCCCGGTCGACGCGAATGCCTTGCGGTGAAGTTGCGCAGAAATATTCTGGCGGGGTATCATTGGGATATGTGCAGAGGTTGCAAACAAACTTGTTGCCACCCGAACGGAACATCATGAAAGGATTGATGTATGCTCGACATCTCCTACACCTAGGTGGACCGATGTCGCCAAAGTCTAGAACGGGGACCTCGGCCTCGCCAGCCTGAGCCCGGGCCAGCGGCTGAAGCATGAGACCGAGGGGCAGTCCAGTTGTATGCAGCGCCTCTGAGGTGGCGGGGATGTTGTTCATGGTCAGTCGGGCAAACTTCGGCGAGGAGTTGCCCTGATCAAAGGCCACGAAGGAAACGGAAGCAGGAGGCGGCACGTGCTTCTCGAAGGTAGGATAGATGTTGCTGAGGTAGTGTTGTTGCGCGGCGTCTCGGGCGGCGGGTACACTGGGGAGCTCGTCCTGGGAGACCTTGTTCTGCCCTCCAGCCGAGACAGCAGCCTCGCTAATGCCGTCCCTCGCACCGAACTCTGCTGGAGAGGCGACGCTACCTGGTGTGTATGGGGCATTGGCGGGAGCCGGAAATTGGCCCTGGTGCGGCTGCGGTGAATAGCCTGGCTGGCCAACGAACCCCGGTGGTTCCTGAGGGGTCGGCGTTCAGGAAGGCCGTAGCAGGTGTACCCGCGGGAGGTATCCCGTTGAATGCCTGAGACGAACCGGTGGATTCGACCTGGTGGTATGCGTGCCTGTCCTTCTTCTTCCTCTTTCCCACACCAACCTGGTGTCCCTCGGCCCCGAGCGACATGCCTGCCATCTGCGCCGTGATATCGTTCGGGTCTGCTTGGGGCTGGCCCTGGAAATATCCCTGGGTCGGCTGGGGCGAGGGGCCGCCAGGCGGCATTGACGAAGGTGTCCCATAATATGGTTGTCCCTGAGGAGTGCCTTGCTGAGGTGGAAATTGTTGTTGTTGTTGCTGCTGCTGGTACGGGTTGGGAGCAACGGGTGGTTGGAACTGATTAGGTGTGCCCTGGTTCGACTGGTTGTACTGGCTGTTTGGATCGTTGGGATCTTGCTGGCCCATGCCAAGGGAATGGTACATGGCGTGGTCCATCGTGACGGTTTGCGCAATGAGACTGTTGCAGTGCTTGGAGGATAGTGCTCGCGCAGAAGGGAGTCGGACGAGGGTGGGCAAAGGCTAGGGTGTCAGATGTTGCGGGACAGCGTGGTGGTGGCGGTGGTCGATGATCGCCGAGGTGCGTCTAGGATGCTCGTGTTTGCGCCAAGGGAGAGAGGGAGAGAGAAGAGAAGAGACGAGATGCAAACAGGCTCATTGGCTTTGGACGAGCAGCAGCATGGCCGTAGATGAGTATCGAGGTGTATTCACAGGCGCGAATGTATATCAAGAGAGTGTCTCCAACGGACCAGGTTGATTGGGTATTAATAAAATACGGGAGACTGCCCTCGCCCGCATCGTCGCCGAATGGTCAAGCTCAAGGTGGCCTTTCCAAAAAGTGACACCAGGAACACTAGACAGGGATCCGTGCTCTTCCCGAGCAGCCAGGCTGCCTGCCTGCCGCAGCTACCACCCCTCGTGTTGATCACTTGCAGCTTGCCGGCCTGTGCATTGCTAACTTTCTGGGGAGGGCTGCACGTCAATCCATGTCAACGCATCGCAGCCAGGGATCATCAACCTGCCTTGGTCTTTCTTTGTGCTGCCTGAGAGCCAACAACAACACCAACAGAAACCAAAGTGTGACGAGTTTAAACTGCCGCACGTACTCATTGAATACCTTCCCACTCATTACCAAGCCCACCAGGCGTGGCTAGTAGGGTTATACTGAATTAATCCGCTCTCTTCCTGCTCTTGATCTTGGCGGCGCGCATCGACAAGCGCAATCCACGACCCGGTTCAGAGGAAAAGATGCGCATGGCAACGTAGAAGCTATTCAGGGCGACCATGTTCACCTTCTGCCCCCTGCAGGGGGCTCTTTCAGAGTCCACCGCATCTCAGTCGCTGCTGGAGCTGGATGGAGGCGTCAAGGTTCTCATCGACGTCGGATGGGACGAGACCTTTGACCTTGACAAGCTTAAAGAGCTCGAGAAGTATGCCACAAGCCCCTTCGACAGGCGCATCCATCGCCCGACCATGCTTGCAGTCGCTGAACCAACACGAATACAGACAAGTCCCAACACTGTCGTTGATTCTCCTTACGCATGCGACCGTCTCCCACCTCGCCGCCTTCGCCCACTGCTGCAAGAACTTCCCGCTCTTCACCCGCATCCCCGTCTATGCCACCCGGCCAGTCATCGACCTCGGACGAACACTGCTGCAGGACCTCTACGCCTCGACTCCGGCAGCTGCGACGACTATCAACCATGGCTCCCTGGCTGAGACCTCGTATGCCTTCACCCAGTCAGCGTCTCCTGATGACAACTTCCTGCGACAGGCCCCAACATCCGAAGAAATTGCCCGTTACTTCTCCCTTGTCCAGCCGCTGAAGTACTCTCAACCCCACCAGCCCCTTCCGTCTCCCTTCTCGCCCCCGCTCAATGGCCTGACCATCACCGCCTACAACTCCGGACACACCCTTGGTGGCACGATATGGCATGTTCAGCATGGGTTGGAGTCGATTGTCTACGCTGTCGACTGGAATCAGGCCCGAGAGAACGTCTTTGCGGGCGCGGCGTGGCTAGGAGGTGGTCACGGAGGAGCCGAGGTCATCGAACAGTTGCGCAAGCCCACGGCGCTTGTGTGTAGCAGCAGAACACCGACATCACTGGCTCGCACCAAGCGAGACGAGCAGCTGCTCGGCAACATTCGAGCTTGTGTGGCCAAGGGCGGCACAGTCTTGATCCCCGTCGACTCTAGCGCCAGGGTCCTTGAACTATCGTACCTCATGGAGCACGCATGGCGTGAAGAGGCAGCAAAGGGCAAGGATGCCGCTGGCAGCCTGAGTGGCGCCCACCTCTATCTTGCCGCGAGGAATATCAGCAGCACTTTACGCCACGCTAGGAGCATGTTTGAGTGGATGGATGAGAGCATCGTGCGCGAATTCGAGGCTGGTGCTGACGGCTCCAAAAACATCAATGGAGACGGCAACAAGGGCAAGAATTCAGGCCCCTTCGACTTTAAGCACCTCAAACTGCTAGAACGAAAGACACAGGTCGACCGTCTTCTTCGAAGGTCGACCGAAGAGGGGTGGACACGAGGCATGGTCGTTCTTGCCAGCGACAGGAGCATGGAATGGGGCTTCTCCAAGGATGTTCTCAAGTCCATTGCCCAGGACTCAAAGAACCTCGTGGTGCTCACCGAGAAACCGAACCTCGGCTTACAGAACACGCCGTCGATATCCAGGACACTGTGGGAGTGGTGGAAAGAGCGCCGAGATGGTGTCGCGGCCGAGCAGCTAAGCAACGGGGAGACTCCCGAGCAAGTCTACGGGGGAGGGAGAGAGCTCGAACTCGCCGAGGCACAACGGGTGCCTCTGGATGGGAACGATCTGACCATCTACCAGCAGTGGCTTGCTACGCAGAGGCAATTACAGGCCACGCTCCAAACCGGCGGTGCCACCGCTCTCGAGGCAGTTGGAGATGGCGTAGACGACGCATCATCCGAATCATCCACGGAATCAGAAGAATCGGAGACCGAACAGCAAGGCAGAGCTCTGAACGTGTCGACGACTATGGGACAAGCAAGCCGGAAGAAGGTGGTCCTGAAGGACGAGGACCTGGGCATCAATGTCCTGGTGAAGAAGACAGGTGTGCATGACTACGATGTGCGTGGGAAGCGAGGCAGGGAGCGAATATTCCCCATCCCCGTACGAAGGAAAAGGACCGACGAATTTGGCGATCTTATCCGACCAGAAGACTTTCTTAAAGCGGAAGAGCGTGATGACGACGGGCAGGAACCAGGAGCCGTAAAGAAGGAGGAAGTCGAGGGCATTGGAAAGAAGCGAAAGTGGGATGACCTCGGCAAAAAGGCCAACACCACCAACAAGCGGCCCCAACTGAACAGAGCCGCGTCCGACGATGTACCTATAGCCGCCCCTTCGGAGGGCTCCGCAGCCGTAGACGACGAGCTTGACGGCGGGGAAGAGGAAGAGGTGCCAAACCTTGGGCCCCTCAAAGTTGGTCGTCACCAAAGAGACCGTCCCTATCAACCTCCGCATCGCATTCGTCGACTTCAGTGGCCTGCACGACAAGCGATCCCTCAACATGCTGATCCCGCTCATCGAGCCGCGCAAGCTCATACTCGTGTCTGGCAACGAGGAGGAGACGATGGCACTTGCGACAGACTGCAAGAAGCTCCTGGGCGCCGAGATAACCACTGCTGACAATGGCACGACGACGGCCGAGGTGCTGACGCCAGGCGTGGGGGTGCCGGTAGATGCCAGCGTAGACACGAATGCGTGGGTCGTCAAGCTGGCCGACCCACTCGTCAAACGTCTCAAATGGCAGAACGTACGCGGCCTGGGGATCGTAACCGTCACGGCGAGGCTGGTGGGCGCAGAGGGCAACGCAGACACGCACCCGCACCTGCCCGGGGCGACGGAGGAGGAAGCCGCCCACAAGCGCCTCAAGACCGAGGGCGAAACCGAGGCCAAGGATGGGTCCGACGAGAAGGCGTTGGTGCCGGGGGTGCCGGTCGTGCCGACGCTGGACGTGCTTCCGACGACGATGGCGTCGGCGTCGCGGTCAGTGGCGCAGCCGCTGCACGTTGGCGACCTGCGGCTCGCGGACCTGCGGCGGGCGATGCAGACGGCGGGCCACACGGCCGAGTTCCGGGGCGAGGGCACGCTACTGATCGACGGCGCGGTCGCGGTGAGGAAGAGCGCGACGGGGCGGATCGAGGTGGAGAGCATCTGCGTGCCGGCTGCCGCCGGGGCGCCGCAGCAAGGGGGCACGTTCTGGGCGGTCAAGAGGATGATCTACGACGGCCTGGCTGTGGTGGCCGGGGCTTAAGACGTTTGCCTCTGACATGCTGACCTGGCTGACTGAGGTCCTAGGTGCAGATTCCGGCTCAGGTGGAGCTCACCGGCCTGACTGGGCAGCAACTCGTTGGAAAGGACGGCAGCCTTGTTTCGGGCGGTGGAGGGACGAGAGGGATTTGCAGCTTGTTGTATTACTATTCTATATCTTGGGTGGGCTGGTGTGGGCATCGTAATGCCGGCTAGGTTGGCGATGATGCTGCTGGGATGCTCATCTTGGTACCAAATCATCATCATACCCAGAAAATAGCCGCCTGCAGCGCTGCATTCACACAAATGAAGGAAATGACCCATGACCTCATACCAGTGCAGAAAAGAGGCAGCCCGGCACCTGCGATACGGCGATACGGTAATGACCACAAAGAGTCTACATCACCAAGCAATCTCTCTCGCACGCCCTCACTCTACTCCGCCTCTCTATGTATTTCCTTGGAAATAAAGGCACGCGGCTCCGAGACCCGGCCGTGACTAACAACTCTGTCTGTGCCAGGGTGAGAAGCAAGCCAACCCCCATCTCGTTCGCGGTCTTGGCGGGGGCGGGTCCCGGGCCACGAGATTTGGGTTGCTCTCATTCTCTCTCAGTCTCTCTTTGCTCCCCTTTTCCGTCTTTGATGAGTTGTGGGGCTCCCCTCCTTGCCTTGCTTTCCCCGTTGCGTGCGCCGCGTCGGGTTTCGGGCTGGCAAGACGGGGTCGTCCTGCCGGGGTTATCGGGGAGCTAGCTAGCTGGGCTTTGTCTACAACACACAACTTTGTTATGCGTGTGGTACCTTGTGTGCAAGGCGCATGGCGGGATTACTGTGGTAACTTTGTTTGTATTTATGCGCGTGTCTTTGTCCCGTCTGTGAAGGCGTATTTGCCGTATATTTTCCGTACAGGCTGATATTTGATTAATTGACTGGAATCTTGGATTGGAGGCAAGAGAAAAGGAATAGGAAGTGGACAGGCCACACCCCTCGTGGGACCTGCCGACGCTGTCATGTCGTTTCAAGTGCTGATCAATGTCGCCTTTTTTTTGTTTTGGAGGGACGCGGGTGGGCGAGCGAGAGGACGAGGGAGGCTGGCCGATCCGACGCTGTGACCTCGTTCCCGCCCGGTCTGACATGTGGCCTATTGGTCTCCACGTTTTCGCTCTCTCTCTCTCTCTCTTTCTCTCACTCTCTCACCTGGTGCTCACCTGCTCGCCGGCACCCACACCGTTGGGAGATGATTTCAGGGGGGTGATCGTCGACAAGGCCCGTATTATGGTACTACCCACCCACTGGCAGCTGTACCCCGTACCTGGCAGCCCTAGCAGACTGGTAGGCTGACATGTCGCTAGCGGGCTGCTGCTGCTTGTATGTAGACTACTTCACATGCCGAAGGAGCAGGGACTACGGACTGAGAGGCTGTAGTCTTGATTACGAATTCACGCAGAGTAGTAGTGGTAATACCGTAGTCGTGGTATGATTAGTCCACTCATATTGGCTTTACGTGATTGTCTCCCGAGGGTTGCGTGTCGTTGAATCTGCAGCATGTTATTTCAGGAAAGTGTGGATATGGCGAGGTACAAGCTCGGCCAGCTGCAGGTCAGGTTACCCATGGCTGTTGCTATTGTTGTTGCACAGGAGTCAGTTATCATTACTGTCTACTGATGGCCGCGAGTGAGTGCGGGAGTTAAGAGATACAGACTGCCAGCGGTCAGCAGACAGGGACACAATTATTCACCCAAGCTGCCGCTGCATATAAGCATACGTTTACCATACTGGGACGAGATAGTGATCTGACCATTGGACCATTAGACTATGCAGACTAGGTAGTCCACAGCTGATAGAGTTCAGGCGAACACAGAGAGAGAGAGAGAGACACAGGGAGAGAGAGAAGGGATGCTCGGTCGCGGGCCGTCGACAACGTTGCAACCTTGACCCAGGTCCTGCTCATAAAGTGGCCCACTGGCTTGGGATCCACGAGGCGCGGGCAGCTCTCGACCACGATACCACCAGGCTGACAGGGTGAGGACCGTGAGGTTTTGGTTTTGTCCTCATGTGAAGGCGCCGCAAGCCGGCAACCAAGCAAGCAAGACATTGTCAGCAGTAGTCTACCCAGTAGTCCTGGACTGTCAAAAGATTGATTGGCCCCGTCGTATCCCATCCGAGATGTGCCCCGGCAGGCCTGCACCCGCCCGGAGCAAAACGTGGGAGCCAGAGTTAGGACGGCCTGGACGGCCTGGACGGACATGCATTTTCAGCTGGGTTGGAGCTGGCGGGACCCATCCCAGTGGCTCAGCCGCCCAATCCGATCCGTTACCCACCCTTGCCCAGCCAGCCCAGCCAGCCCAGCCAGTCCATGCCCTGGTCGTCCTAGCGCCCCCGGACCTCCTTTCCCTCTTTTCCCCTGCACCACCGCCGCCGCCCTGCCAGCCAGCCTCTCTGCCTGCCTGCCTGCTGCTTCTGCCCAGTTCCTGCTCCAGCCCCAGCAAAACTCGCAATCTCCAAGCGAACTGACGACGTCCTTTCCGACCTCCCGCTCCCGCACCCTCAGAACTCAATTCTCTGGCGACTTGCACACACGCTCACCCTCACACACTCAACACACCACACCAACACATCGACGACCACGACGACCTCCCACCCCTCTTCCGACCGGCTCCTCCTCCCCCAGACAAGCCAAGCTCGCGTACACAACAGCCCTGCGCCAGACGCGACCGCCCCCTTAGACCTTGTAGCCTGTCCTCGACAGTACAGTCAACCCCGGCCCGTTGATTACTGCCTGACAAGCAATGCCGACGCGATTCGCCCGTCTCGTTATCCCCTAAATCCTTCCCTCGACTCGCTCCCAATCCTCCACCACCACCACACCACCACACCGCACTCACATCAACATATCACGCCTTGCCTTGCTTGAGGACGTCACCAACATCCATCGACTCCTCGGGTAGGGCGAGCAAACCGCAGTTCAGCATTCCAGACTCGCAGAACCGTCTCCCTCCGGATTTTATCTCCCTTTTCTGCAACGTCGACCAGGCAGGACCAGATTCAGACCCAGACTCCGTCCGACCCTGGGCCTGATCCTCAACTACCCGCCTCTCCTTCCCAAACCCCTTCGGCTTTGCCGACCATCATCGCTCATTTAGTATACTGTTCTCGACGCCGAACACCTCCCCCGTACGAGATGCCATCGTTCCTCAATGACCACAACTCGCCAATTCACTTCCAGAACGCCGGAGTCGTCCACCTGAACGGCCCCAGCCACTACGAGGAGGGAATCCCAAACATCGACGTCAAGGTCAATGGACACGTCCCACACTCGGTCAACTCGCACGTCTCAAATGATAGTTTCGACGGCAGCTCCTCCCATTCCACGCACACCTCCGAGTCGTCGGACGCCTACCACATGAACGGCAACGACACCCGGACCTCGACTATGAGCACAACCAATGGCCACAATGGAGCCATTGAAGGGGAGGATCACGACTGGAAGACAAATGGCTTCGTCCGTGGGGATGCCCCCCAGAAGCCCCTGTCCAACCGTGCCCCCATCACCATCTCCCCGCCAGACCGAGCCGCTCCCCCGCGACCACAAATGCCCAATGGCACGGCTGATCGCACCTCAGCCCACAGCTACGCGGAGCCCCCCTCGATAAGGACGTCAATGGCCTCCGCAACCACCGGCTCTGTCCAGCCCTCCCCGTCAGGGTTTTCGATGCAGCAGGGCCAAAGAGGGGACGCACCCGGTGCTGGCGGCGGCAGCAATGGTCTCTACGCCGACGGTGGCTCCCGTGTCCGGTCCTCGAGCCCGGCAAACCAGAGGTCCAGCCTGGACCCGAACGCTCCACCACCCCAGAGGTTCTCCTCTCCTGCCCAGATGTCGGGTAACACAAGTCTCAACTCATCGACACCCAATCTCCACCCAGCAAACCCAGGGCTGAAACACCGTCATACCCTCGAGGTACCTAGGCCCGGCCAACCCCGCGGGTCTCGTGACGGGCAAGACACTGCAGTTACCAGCGGTCGCTTCTCGCCCACCAACGTCGGGCCCAGCGGTGCTAGGAGAGCCTCCATCAACCTGGTCAGGCGCAACACCCGGTCATTGCACAGCGACTTTCCCCGTGACGAGGCTTTCCCCGACGAGGACGCCATGCGGTGGGCAGAGGCATATAGGCAGAAGAGGGCCAGCAAGAAGAAGAAGAAGGAAGAGGAGGATGACGACCGTGTGCTGGTCGGCACCAAGGTCGACGAGAAGCACGCAAACTGGGTCACCGCCTACAACATGCTGACGGGCATACGAGTCGCCGTGTCCCGCACGAATGCCAAGCTGGATCGTCCGTTGACAGATGCGGATTTTGAGGCTAAGTCCAAAACAACATTCGATATGTAAGTCTTGCCGAAGCGTGTATTTTCGGACTCCCGGGTGTGTTTGAGCTAGGTGCGTAGAGAAACAGATACTGATCGGCCCGCAATCGCAGCACCGGAAATGAGCTTGTCCCCTCTGCAAAGTACGACTTCAAGTTTAAGGACTACGCGCCTTGGGTCTTCCGACATCTGCGACAGCTGTTCCACCTAGATCCGGCCGATTACCTCATGTCCCTGACAGGAAAGTATATCCTCTCGGAGCTCGGGTCACCCGGCAAGAGTGGTAGCTTCTTCTACTTCTCCAGGGACTACAGGTTCATCATCAAGACAATCCACCACGGCGAGCACAAGTTCCTTCGTAGGATATTGAAGGAGTACTACCAGCATGTGACTGAGAACCCGAACACGCTGCTCTCGCAGTTCTACGGTCTCCATCGGGTCAAGACGCCGTGGGGAAGGAAGATCCACTTCGTCGTCATGAACAACCTGTTCCCGCCACACCGGGATATCCACACCACTTTCGACCTGAAGGGATCTACCATTGGCAGGGACTACAGGGAGGAAGACTTGGAGAAGAACCCCCGGGCCACCTTGAAGGACCTGAACTGGCTGAGGCGTCAGAGGCACCTGGAGCTCGGCATCCAGAAGAAGCGGCTCTTTATGGAGCAGCTGCAGAAAGATGTCAAGCTGATGCAGAAGCTGCACATAATGGACTACTCTCTTCTGATCGGCGTGCACGACACCCGCAAGGGCAACGAGGAGAACCTGCGGGCCCAAAACCTCCAGGTTTTCAGCCCCGGCGGCGCGCAGGGTTCCGAGGACCCTAACCAGGTGCTGATGCGTACGCCTTCGAAGCTCGAGAATCAGCGCCGCGCCGCCCAGATGCGGCAGCTGATCAAGTCGGAGCGGCCGGTGCCCATGGGACAGAGCATGTCTGGCATGCCCGATGTCCTGGAGGACTCTGTCGCCAACGCAAAGTCTGATTCCTTGTTCTACTCGGATGATGGTGGCATGCGGGCCACCCACGAGGACAACATGCCAGGTGAAGAGATCTATTACTTGGGAGTGATTGACTGCCTGACCCATGTAAGTCGAAAAAGCGAGCTGCCTTTTCTCTGAGGGGACTCAATACTGACTTGACTCTAGTACGGTGTAATCAAAAAGATCGAACACTTCTGGAAAGGACTTTCAAGCGACCGCACGCAGATTTCCGCCTTGCCACCAGAGCAGTATGGTGATCGGTTCCTCAACTTCATGTCCGGGATAACCATGTCTCCCGAGGAGGCACAACGGGAGGCCGAGGAGAAACAGAATGCCGAGGCCGTGGCTGCCGCCGAGAAGTCAAAACAGCGTGTGCCAAGCTGGAACAGTGCAGGCCGCAGGTCTACGAGTAATAACATCCCGGCAGCCCCAACCCACGAGCCTCCTGCGCCACCGGGCCGTGGCTCTGGAGCCATCTCACCTCAGGCAGAGGAGACGATGCGGAGAGCAGAGCACGTTGCGTCCAAGGCGGAGAAGCATGGCCATACCGAGCAGGGGGTTCCGGAGCGGGTCATCAAGACGACTGGCTCGGCCAGCGGCGGCATCTTCCCCTCCATAGCGGCTGCTACAGCTCCGTCCCTGATGGCCACCAACAACCCGATTGCGAACAACCATGACGGAGCGAACCAGGCTATTTTGCCAATCGTGGAGGAGCCTAGCGACGGATCTACCAACGGCGAGCATGACCACAGCGCAAGCAGGGCAAATAATATTACTGCAGGCCATGACGAGCGACCATGGACACCGGCAAGGGACGGTCAGGACCGCAACAGTTCCAGCTCCGGCAACCCGGCGCTTTCGAACATGCGTGAGCCCTCCAGGGCACCACCAACTCCGCCTAAGACGAGTGGTAGCATGGTAGGCAATGGCAGCGCATTTGGCCACGGGAAGCGACTCACCAAGCCAGAGAGCGCCGACAGCGGGATTGGTGTTCACGAGATGATGGGCCGGGCGAGAAGCGGGAGCCAGGTGTCGAAATACTCCGACAAGGCCGGCGTAAAGGGGCAGATGAGCCGGGAAAGCTTGGATAAGGCTCTGCCACCGCTGCCTGGCGTCAACGGGCCGGCGTAAAGAACCATCCAGGGAGGGACGAGCGCCTAGGATGGAAGCAAAGAGTCTCTGGTCCTGCGGGGCCAGAACAGGCGAAGAGAATGTGGCAACGACCAGAGGAGGGGTGGATAATGAGGAAGAGACATCCGAGGCAACAGAACCCTTTTTTCCCCTCTGCGGGAGGGGGCCGATTTTTGTTTATTCGCGCAAAGAACGATATGATACCACTACAGCATCGAAAGCATCGAATCCAAACCTTTCTTGTCAATACTCTTTTCTTCTCCATTTCCTCTCCCTGACTCTCGACCGCCTATTCTCATCTTCTTTTACCACTTCAATTCTTCTACTTTGTTTATCGACTGACACGCCCACCCGAGTCGGACCGATCCAGATCATTTTTCTTTTGTTCCTGCGTTCAATTGGCCAGGTTGCGTTTAAATGCTGTTTGCTGTCTTGTTTTTGCCGGAGTTTCCTGTGAAAGGTTTAGATGGGCACAGAGAGAGAGAGAGAGAGAGAGAGAGCAGAAGCTCTGGGCTGTTTTTGCTCCTTTACTGGGGTGAAACGAGGAAGATAGTGAAGGCGACCTGGTCCCCCCAACGAATGGATGTAAAAACAACATCAACACCAACAACCAAATTTTTGAAATGAAGACCAAATGGGCTGCAGTCTCCTTTTCCCTTTTTCTTTTTGGTTTCATACTCTCATGAACACGCCGGAAGAGAAAAGCAATACAGAATGGGCTTTCCCCCCTAATTCCTCCTCGACCCCAGGCCACGGAGATGCGCTGAATGAGGGAGGTATTTGGATGACTGGTTTGCATGCTGGGGGGCATTGTATATAGCTTCAATGATACCTCATAGACTAACATTGGATGACAATCGAGATTGGGGCTCTGTTTCTTCTATAGTTCATTGGTTCTTGGGGGGATTCCAGCAGGTATGGTTGGAATGTGGTCCCGTTTCAACGACTGACTAGCATATATGGTGATTCCTGAGTAGTATTTACGCATCGAATCTTCTCCTCTGAATACTGAGCGACACTTGAGGCCAGTGCGCAGATGGAGGCTATTTGAGAGTAGAATGGTTTCCTGGTATTATAATCTTTTGCCCGCCCACCCCTGAACGCCCTGATCCATCGGAAAGCAACGTGGATTGGTATGCCTCCTTCACGTACTTGCTTTCTCCTTCTTTTATACACACATGTGATATGTACACACACAAACACGGCAGCCTTCAAGTACGGCACGAATTGTCCCTTCCACCTTCGGAGCTCATGTGAGTCCCATCATGACCCGGCCGGCCCGGTCTGTATCTGCACGTTCTGCGCGCCCTGCGCCTGGAGCTGCGCCAGCCTCTGCTTCTTATTGTGCTCTGCCACGCGCCACTTCTTGAAGTATGTCACCTGTATGTTCCGGGGGAAACAAACCCCAACAGTCAGCCAACCGAATCAATCATCCGGCCCTTCCCACCGTGCCGTGTGTCCTCGTTCTCGATGTTTTGCTTACCCACTCGGAGGCACAGTCCCTCTCGAAGGCGGTCGACTCGCCGCCGCACTGCTTCGCCGCCGCCTTGTCGTCCTTGATGGCGTCCAGGATGCTGTTGCGGTCCAGGCAGGCGAAGTAGGCGTCGCGGCTCTCCCAGCACCGCTTGCGCTCCGTTCGCGTGGGGGCCACGGCGCCGCTGCGGACCTCGTCGGCTCGCTTGTCCGTCGAGGACTTCCAGAAATCTGTGAGGCCCATTTTCTTTGCTTCGCAGAGTGATATGATGCCCTGGTACGGCATGCGATTGGGGCGTTGGAGACTGGAGGGTGGTTCGACCGGAAGGGCGGGTTCGAGGTGGGATGGATGATGCACTCACTCCCACTCACTTGAGGGACGATGGACCATTCGCTGAAGAGAGCTTCCCGGGCGGCAGAATTATTTGGGCGGTCAGGCCATGTCGCGGTGCGTTGGCAGGTACGTCAGTGCCGGGAGCTTGGTGCTGTGCCGTAGCGTGCCGGGGCGAGCTGCAGCCAGGGTTCCGCCTACCTCCCTGGGGCGGGCTTGGCGGAAGGCAAGCAAGGGACCACTGCGCTGGCTGGCCTGCTAGGGTGCCAGCGGGAGTGATTGCGATCACCACGCAACACATTGTCATCAATCTCGACATCCTACAGCCGCATAGACTGGTTTTGTTACTGATCCTAGAACCCCATAGAGTGGATCCTGTATTCTCACGCGAGCTTCGATATCCCAGATCGAAACACCGACTGTGCCACCACGCCACAAGAGACGCCGCGACTCTGGCCTGCTCTCTGGCTGTCTGTCCGTCTGTCTCATCAACTCGAAATGCGCCCTAGGTAGCAGGCATCCCCGACCCGTCGAACCACCCTCCATCTCCGAACAACTGCCAACTGCTCACGAGACCCGGCACATCACGTCCTCCTCCTCATCCTCCACCACCACCGCTGCCACAGAACCTACCAGCCAAGACCACGAAGCCTGAGACGAAATGGCGAGGAGACGGAGGCCCCCACGCTCCGGCGCCCTGACGGAGCTGCCGCCGCTCCGGATCCTGGGCCAGATCGCCGCGCTGCAGGCCCTGTACTACTTCGCCGCCCTGGTTCTGATGCTCTTCACGGCGCTCGTGTCCGGGCGCGGCTTCTCGCTCGACCTGGTGCTCGGCTGGTCGGCCGTCAGGGGGGACACGACGCAGGGCTGGCTCAACGCATTCATGTGGATCCTGGACGGGGGGTTGTTCATGTAAGCTTTTGTTGTTGTGTTGTGTCCGCAGTCCGGGGTGAATATATTCAAGGAGGGAATGGAGTGTCCTCGTGCGAGCTTGTCTCTTCTTGTTTTGCTGACTTCACTCCCTGCGCAGGGCCGTCGCCATGGTCATGATCGTCATCCGCTCCAAGCTCGTCCTCGACTTCGGCCTCACCACCCACTTCATCCACCTCGTCGTCGTCTCCCTGTACACCGGCCAGGTGCCGCGCAACGTCTTCTGGTGGGTCGCCATGGCCGTCTCCAGCGCCGTGGGCGTCTCCCTCGGCGTCTGGGGTTGCCAGTACCGGGAGCTGAGGCCCGTCTTCTTTGGGGGTGGGGGTATCGGCGGCGGTGGCGGCTCGAGTGCCAACAACAACAATAATAATAATATGAACGGCAGTGCGGCCGGTGGTGGCGAGGGCGGCAGCCAGGCGGCAGACGGCGATGAGGAGCAGGGGTTCTCGAGGGGAAGAGGACGAGGGAGGGGAAGGGACGGCGCGGGAGAGTATGAGATGGTCAAGCTGAATGGGGCACCATGACGTGCGCTTGTCAGCCAGTGAATGCGATTTATCACTTCCGAGGACGGACCCTGGGGCATCCTGGCGGGAACAACTGTTGGGAAACCTGGCTGGCCGGCTGGCGATGGCGTTGTTTGGACCTTGACGATACTGCATAGACCGGCGTTTGGATTACATGGGCTAGATCACGACTTAGCAGGCCAGAGATGGACTTTGATGAATGCAAGATGCTATTGTAGTCGCAGATATGCCAGCGACTTGGTCCGTCTAGAGTGATATGCCCACCTGATGCCCAAAAGCTCCTATTCCTCGTCTACCATAGTTTCTCCAGAAAGAAATTCACCAGGGCCGAGACAAGCGACAGGGGCGTAAATGTTTGGAAGACGGGGTCACGTAATAGAACAAAGCACACGACGGTTCAGTCGACGCGGACAAGACCCCACGGCCTGTATGAGAGAGATATGAGAGAGGTCAGGAGAGGGGGCCGGTTCTGCGTTTCGACACTCTCAGCATACCTGTGCACTTGAAGTCACTTTGACCCAAAACTAGGACGGAGGTACTGTATCCTGAGTGTGAAACGAAGAGCTCGAAGCTGCAATGATGCAATGCCAGTTCTAAGTAGATGTATGTACAATGTGCTGGCTATAGTTGTCCCTTCAAACGATTCTTAGTGGAGTGGACGTCCATTACTTCTAATTCGTTAGATATCTAGCTAGGCAACAGACCCCATCCCTTCAAGAGTCTTGGTAAGGCACTCTAGAATCATACGTCAACGAAGCTTGAGTAATTCTTTATTGCATACCTAAGCAGTACTTATGGCCCTGAGAATCACACCAAGGGACCTGGATCACGTAGCCCTTCCAATATGTGCCGCATAGATTGGGGTGACATAATTTGCTTGAGGCTTATAGTATGCCTCTTGATCTGAGGAGCGGGCATGCCTCTCGTAACCAAAACTCTGTGGCCCTGTCGTCTCAACGATGGAATCCTCCAGCAGCTCCAACTCGTCGTTGCTGATGTGTGCGGCGGCGGATCTTGGCTGACTTGAGACCATGGTGGCAGTCGCGTGAGTGGAGAAAACATCTGTGAATCCATGCCACCGGTCGCGTGGCCCTTTCTTTCTATTCGAATTGAAGCGTCGCCCGATTGTTAGATACCCAGAAGGGCTATAGGAGCCTTGGGCAGTGTCCTTCTTTCCCTTGGCCCGACGGATCAAGGAAACAACTGCAGGTATTGATGCGCTTACCTTTTTACTAATATTAGCAGCCATTTGTAGGGGGGTAACGATTGAGGGGGGAGGGAAGCCAGGAGAGAATAGAATCGGCGAACACATACTATCGAGACGTTGATTTCTGCTACGGACAGAATAGCCATTTCAACATAACCGTCTAGATGGGCATGATGTTAATTACTTACAAACCCAAACAATCTTGGAGAGGCTGAGGGTTTACATGTGAAGTTCGCGTCCATGGCCTGAAAGAAGACTGTGAAGCGGGCAATGCTGATGCCTGTGACAACGAAGCCGGCCAGAAAGATGAAAGCAATTACTAGCTTCTTCCTGACAGTCATTTGGAGTTTCCAACTGTGATAAGATGGTTATCAAAACATTCAATTATTTCGGCGGCAGGAGGCCGAGGCCATTGAGACTTGCATTTGTGTTGTCGGCAAGAGTGTGATGGTGCCGTCAACGATGATGTTGATGACATTTAAGGCGTATATCTCGCTATTCATATCGATGCAAGTACCACTATGCTCTGTTTGCCACCTGTGAAAATAGTAGGCGAAAGGCTTGCAAGAGGCCAGTGTTGCTATGAGGAATGCGGCCCCATAGCTAGTTGACAAGGCCAGGAGGGTATATGCCCAGATCCAGGAGTTGAAAATGCGAAGGTATTGTAGCAAAATGGACATCTTCAACAGAGAAACCTCAAGAATGTACATGAGCTCAGTGGCGAGATGATACTGGGAGCGGATCTTGTGAGTATCACGGACGAAACCACGGACGAAACCACGGACGAAACCACGGGTGACAGGGCGACGTGCCTACCTCGAGGATTGTGATGATCTGATACTCCTCCAGCATCCAAATGTCTTTGCCAAAACCATAATGGACCAATAAGTGGAAAGTAGTGATGGATGGTATCTGGATAGCAAGCAGGATGATGATCGTCCAGTCATCCCAGCCCAGGCGGCCGCCGAAATAGGGAGCTCGTGAGACGAGACGAAGGATGACGGAGGTGAAGGCAAATGAGAACAAAATCCATATGGCGACAATCAAGCGTCGTGATTCATCTCGAACAGGTGCGTCACACAATACTGCGGTGTATCTGCGTACGTGGAGTCGATCAATCGTTGGACAATTCTCCTGTAGGCAGGGTGTTATAGCGGCGGATATAGATGCTGCGTGGAGGCAAATGCAGGTGGTGTTGGTTGCTGAGCATGGCGAACTGGAAACACCATCCGCAAAACATGGGGCCTGCCATCGGGCGGTGGTCAGCAGATGATTTGGATACTGGCTGGTGAGTAAGGACACACTGCACAGGAAGGCAGCTGATCAGAGCCGGCATCCAATGTCCTCGACTGGACGCTGTCGTTAGGAGGACGTGAGAAAGCGCAAGCTGTGCCCCAGGTAGCTGCCACAAGACCAAATGATCTTAATCTCATGTCTTCGATGTTGTGAGATAGTCGGTCGAGGATCCGGTCAGAAGTTTACAACAGGACGTAAATGAGGGACAAGCTAAGAACTTCCGATTTCTGCAGCACGATCTTCTGTGTCAGCATTATGCAGAGGCGGAAACATTGGATAAACAGTTATAAGTGAAGTAAGCAAAGGCATGTGTGAGTGTTGCACATCTATTGGATGCCACAGCGTAATCCCTCACAGGGACATTCCGAACAATCGGGCCGTTGGTCAGGGACTACGGTTCTCCAAAGCTCCGAAGGCTTGTACGTGACGTCTGAGAATGTCCGGTGGTACCAGATATAGGCTATTAATAGTTCTCCAGCTGAAAATATGCATGTGGAGTGAGGCTACACCGAGGGAGCTGAACTTAATTCTTCATAGCGCCCGGGCACCTCTACTAGTAATGCGGTCGACTTCCAGCCCGCCAATGTCGTAATGGCGCTACATGTCTTGGAGTTAGGCGCCGAATTGGTACTTCTCGCCAGGCTTGCGTAGTTGTCTTTGTTGAGATCATGTCTACGGGGTGAGGAAGGCCGTGATTACTTGCCAAGAAATGCGGCGGAGGCAGTCGCTGTAAGCAATTCCCCCACAAGCTCAGCAGCCTCTCACATTTGTGCAAGATGGCCTTGTATGATGGAAGATCCTGCCAGATTTGAGGCAATGAGCCATGCGCTTATCGAAAACGGGATGGTTCAGCTACACAGGCATGGCATGACTTGAATACCACATGGTCCTTTGAAGAGCCCCAGCCAATGTTTACCCGTGTATCAGCAACAGCAAAATGGATAGAAACCTGACTATGAACGGTACTTACTAGCAGTCCAATCCGAATCTTTCAGGATTATTATTCAGATTTCAGGCGGACTTTGCAACATGGTATGTGTGCCCGTCTCACCTGAGCAGAAGGAAATCGTGGAACACATCCTTTTTTCACAGCCCTTTCCCCACGGGCTTTGCCGGCTTTTTCTTGGAAGGCTTTTTCAACACGTAACGATCAAAATCAGTCAACTTTATTCGATCTGTCTTCTCCCGATTCATACCATTTGTTTCTTAAAATGGCTGGGATTGCTCACTCGTATTACCTTCATTGTCGATGTCGAGGGGCATTTTAGGCTCCGGGTTCAATTGCGGGAACAGCAGCTACTGTATGACGGCTGAAATCGAGAACGTGTTGATCAATATGCTGAGAATGAAACGCACTTTGCGCCCTCAGAACTCGTAATGAGTTACAGATAAATGTGTAGTATTGTTTTTGTCTTCCCCGGTGCGTCATGCCGAGCAAATGGTTGTATGAACGCACCGGTTAACGACTCTCGGCCCCAAAAATTGAACGATGCTGCCAATGTCGTCCTAACTCTCGCCTCGCTCAAAAATCGTCCGACGGGATTCTCAATACATTATGCGTATATCTGAGCTTCTATGTGAGTAGATGGCCCAGCAGTCTAGATAGTATGGAAAGCTATATAGAGGCGCGCTCCATTTTTTCGCTGGCTAATCCCGGCTTAGCAAGATGGCGCGATCTCGCACCATCCGGTCGGCCGAAGGATGAAGGTTCACCTGCCTTACCTATTCTGACATGCAGGGAGCCGTAGGTATTCAGCGGAGTTCCGGGCTGCTGAGTGAGTAGATACCCGTCTGAGAAAATTAAGATCGGGGTTGTAACGCAGGGTTGGTATACTGTACATGGCCCCGGTCACAGCAGCCTGAGAGCGTACGGCAGCCAACCACGCCCGCCCATCTCGCTTGCAGGTAGTTCACCTCAACTCGACTCGTTTCATTTCCAGCGTGATTCTCTTTCGGACAATTGTCTGTGCTGCGCTTCAGCTCTTACAGACTGACACACAACCGCGGCCAAGATGCCCGTCAAGCGCGTCGCAGTCGTCGGCGCCGGCCCCTCGGGCGCCATCGCAGTAGACGCCCTGGCACAGGAGAAGGCGTTCGATGTGATCAGGGTGTTCGAGCGCCGCGAAGGCCCGGGCGGCTGCTGGTAAGCCCAAGCACTCACCTGCTGCTCAACCCCTCGCCACCACCTTTTTCTTCCTCGCTCACGTCCTACGCAGGATTGGCGACACGAAGCCCCCGCCGCCCCTGACCAACCTCGCGGCTCTGGCCCGGCGCGAGGGTGACCCGCCCGTGCCCATCCCGGAGACGCTCCCGGCCAAGACCCTCAGGCCGGCCCAGCCGCGGTTTGCCGAGTCGTCAATCTACCCGTACCTCGAGACCAACGTCGACGACGTGGCCATGAGCTACACGGGCGGCAGCGCCGAGGACATCCCCGCCGAGCGCAGCGAGTGGTCCGTCAGCAGGCACGGCGCCGACACACCGTTCCGGCACTGGAGGGTTCTAAGGCGCTACGTCGAGGGCCTATGGGCGCGCAACGGCTACGCAGGGCTCGTCTCCTATGACACCGCCGTCGAGAGGGCTGTTAAGGTCGGTGGGGAGTGGGAGGTCACGCTGCGGCGGGAGGGCGAGGACGGCAAGGACGAGTGGTGGGTTGAGAAGTTCGGTGCTGTCGTCGTGGCGTCCGGGCATTTCAATGTGCCGTGGGTGCCTGCCATCGAAGGGCTGGAGGAATTCGAGTCGTCGCGCCCCGGGAGCGTGCTCCACAGCAAGATGTACAGGGGGCGCGACGACTTCAGAGGCAAGGTGAGTGGATCCGCGGCGGACCGGGCACTGTTGCTACCCCCTGAGGCATAAAAGTCCCTCAAGCTGACGAGCCGACAGCGAGTGGTGGTGGTAGGCGCCTCCGTATCAGGCGCAGACATCGCATACGACCTGGCATCGGGCAAAGCCACGAAGGACGTTCACGCCGTCGTGATCGGCCACAACTTCAACACGTACTTTGGCGACGAGGCCTTCAACCACCCGCGGATAAAGAAGCAGCCCTCGATATCGCGCGTCGACGCCGGCACCCGGACGGTCCACCTCGTGGACGGCACCGCCATCCCGGACGTCGACCACCTCATCTTCGGCACGGGCTACAGCTGGAGCCTGCCCTTCCTCCCGCAGGTGCCCACGCGCAACAACCGAGTCCCTGGGCTGTACCAGCATGTCGTCTGGCAGCAGGACCCGACGCTGCTGTTCGTCGGTGCTGTTGGGGCCGGGCTGACGTTCAAGATCTTTGAGTGGCAGGCTGTCTACGCCGCACGCCTGCTCGCGGGTAGGGGGACGTTGCCCAGCGTTGAGGAGATGCGCGCGTGGGAGGCCAGGAGGGTGGAGGAGAAGGGTGATGGGCCCAAGTTCCTGATGGTCTACCCTGACTTTGAGGAGTACTTTGAAAAGGTGCGGGAGCTCGCTGGGGAGCCAGTTGATGGGGTGGGCAGGGAGCTGCCAAAATATGACAGGAGGTGGTTCCAGCTGTTCATGGATGGCCATGAGCTGAGGAAGGCCATGTGGAAGAGGCTCAATCAGCAGGCAAGGGCTGAGCTTGAGGCCGGTGGTGATGGTGCTGCAGTGGAGAGTCGTTTGTGAGCTTTGGCATTCTAGTCACTTGCACTGTTTGCCAACCATCGTTTGCTATACTTAGAGAAGGTGTAGATAGCATTTGGACATAGACAGAAGTCTGTAGATTAGAGGTGACAGAAGTTTAATTGCTCAAGCCGTAACAAGTACTACCGGTGTCAAGCAGGTAGTAGGTGTCCGTACCGTGCCTCAAAACGGTGCTGTGTACACCTGACAGGTGAACAAGTATATAGGGTGTCAATGTGTGAATCATTTAAAAACAGTGCATGACACAGAAATGATTCTGAACGGCATTCAGCCTTTCCATATTCCTACCTTGGTTTCAGGTAGTCTCGTGTCGATTTCCGCCTGTGCCGTCCCAGACGGGCTAGTCAGCCGCCCGCCTCTAATCCACCCACGCCTTACCACCACTCTGTGATACTCCGTAACGTTCGGTATATAAACCCTCTCGACCACCCCTTTAGCCCTATAAACACCAAGGTTTGGTCGTTTCTCCCAGGAATCATTCAACTTTACGCAACTATTACCACGCAGCCAGCATAATGGCTACGCGCACGCGAAATAAGGGGCCTGCTCCCTAGCAGCCTTCAACCCAATTGCTAGCAGCCATGCCGCCCAGCTGCTAAAGTTTAGCACTTAAGGCAATCGCGGACATCATTACTCTTGCTGCTCCCTCTTCTTTTCCCTCTTCTTCTCCCTTTCCTTCCCCCTCTCCTTCTCCCTTTCCTTCTCCCTTTCCTTCTCCCTTTCCTTCTTCCTTCTTATTCTTATCTTTTTATCCTACTAATATATATTATATATATTCTAGCAATTGCTTTTACTCTTTCTTAAGCTTTATTACTTATTTTTATTAAATATTTTTATACTTAATTATAGCATTATATAAAATTATTAAAAAGTTTTTTAATAAAAATAAAAAATAAGAATCTTAATAATATTAAAAGAATATTAATAATTTTATAATTTTAAATAAACTTAAACTATTATGGGCTAGCCTTGGGTTATCTGCCGTAAGGTGTTCAAATGGGGTTTATATTCAGAGTGCAAAGGAAAAGGTTTACTCTTCATCTGCACCTACGCCAAAGCTTATTCTTATAAGGCCAAAGCCCATTAATTAATTATAATAGGTAAAGCCTAAACTATAATATATCCTCCTTTTCTAAATTCTTATAATAAGCCCTAAAGAATAGCTATATAATAAAAAATAAAGAATATTATAATTTAATTATAAATTAAATATTATTTTTTACTTAGCTATTTAATTATACCTTAGCGCCTTTTAATTATGCTAAAGGCCTAGCTTATTATTTATAATTAATACGCCTTAGCCCTTATAATTTAATATACTAGCTAAAGTAAGCTAATAAAAGATAATTATTTAAATATAAGTTAATAGCTAAATTAATAGCATTCCTATAATTCTTTAATGCAAACTTTTTATATAAGCTTCTTTATTTAAAATCTTAAAATTATAAATTTATTATATAATTTATAATTAATTAATGCTTAATTATAAGCAATTTATTTTATTAATAAGAATTTCCTAAATTTTAAGCATTTTTATAATATTAAATTAGCTAATATATAGTTAATTTACTTTAAACTTAAGTTAATGCTAAGTTAATATTGCTTTTAAGCCTTATCTTATAAAAAAAATTTTATACCTCCTTAAATAAACTCCTTTTCCTTATTAGCCTTAATTAATAAAAGCTGCACTTTTATTTTCTTATAATAATTAAAGCAATTATACTTATAATAATTAAGTTAATTATATATAAAATACTTAACTTTACTTATTAAAATTATTATAATATTAATATTTATTACTTTGCCATTTTAAGATTAAATATTATCCTTCTTTATTATAATGTTAAAAATATCCTTATATTATTATAAGGTAAAATAAAAAGCCTTAAATATATTTAATTATTCCTTATAATTAAGCTATTAATTATTAATAATATTTTATACTTATTTAGCTAACTTTAAGCCTTTATTATATAAGTTAATTAATTAAATTAAATAAGAAATTCTGTTATCTCCTCTTTATAATGCTATTATAGCGTAATTAAGCTAAGCTTAACACATCTTTACTTAAAAGGGTCCTTAAGCATAAAGCAAACCTTTTTTAAAAAGTTCTTTAGCTACCTTTTAAATATCTTTATAAAATTAATATAAAGCAAAAATTAATTATAAAAAGTTTTTAGCTAATTAAATATATAAAAGAATTAAGCCTCTTTAATGCTAATTGCTTCTTTATTTACTGCAAACTTAGCCCTTATCTCTATTAACTAAGTTGCTAAGTATTCCTAAGATAAGAGTTCCTTTAAATAAGGAAAGGCTTAACAAGCTACCATTATTCTTTCTAAATCTCATTATACCAGGTTTTATATAATTATATTATAAATTTATAATATAAAAAGACTTTAAATATATATTATAAGCTAACCTTAGGTTATTTATTATAAGATATTTAAATAAAGTTTATATTTAAAGTATAAAGGAAAAGGTTTACTTCTTATTTACATCCATGCTAAAGCCTATTCTTATAGGGCTAAAGCTTACTAACTAATCACAATGAGCAAAGCCCAAACCGTAACATAAACTTAAAATTAAGCAAAGTTATTAATATATATTTAACTTATAAAAATAATATATAATTTTAATAAATTTTACTTATTTTTCTTTTTTTATTAATTCTTTTTTAATATATATAATTTTATTAATATAATAATAATTATTTATTAAGCATAAAGGGTTATTAAAGTTAAAATAAAGGTTTTTTAATTATAATTATAAGCATTAAGGTTATTATAAAACTATTTCTTGCTTTTTTAAGCTTAGCTTAAAGGGGGCTTAAAGTTTTTTTAATAGCCCTTTAATTATTATAATTATAAGAAATTATTATAATTATATTTCCCTTAAGGAAGTAATATTCTTATAACTTTATATTAAATTTATATTATCTTTATTATTATAATTATTATATTATATTCTTTTAACTTTTTATTTATTTTATAATATTTTTATTAAGACTTTTATTAAATAATATCTTTATAGCTTTTTATTTATTTTATACTCTTTTTATTTAAGTTTTTATTAAGGTTTTTTATTTTAAATAATAATTTCTTTTAAGGCTTTTTTTAATTTATTTATATAAGCTTTAATAACTTATTATTAAAATTTATATAGCTAATTTAAAAGTATATAAACTTAATTAATAAAGCTAAAAAGCTTATTATTACTTATTTTAATTTATAATTTTTTTTCTTTTTAATAATATTATAAATTCTTAATTATTATTACTTTTTATATATAGTTTATAATATTTTTTAACTTTCTTTATTATTTTTATTTTTCTTAATATTATTAATATTATTAATATTATTATTATTATAACTTTTAATAATAAAAGCTTTATATTAAGTAATTTTAATAACTTTTTATTTAATAAAGCTTTTAAGTATAATATTAAAGTTAAGTTTAAGAATTATAAATAGCCTTATACTTTTAATATAACTATTTTAAGTTTATTTTTTCTTTTTAATACTTTTTACTTTAAGCTACTTAAGTAATAAAGCTTAAAAAGTAGCTTATTATACTTTTAATTAAGTTTAATCCTTAATTCTTCTTCTTATATTTACTTTAATCTTAAGAATATATAAAGTTTAAGTTTAAATTTAATTAATAATAATAATAATTACCTTTTAAAAATCCTTATTTTTATAACTTTTAAGTTTAATAAAAAGATTAATATTATAATATTCTTTAATAAAGAACTTATTTCTTATATATATTAATCTTAATTTTTCTTTTTAACTCTTATTTAATTAAATAAAAATACTTTAAGCTTTTAAAGTATTCTTACTTAAGCTTTAATAATTTTTTAAATATTATATATAACTTATATTTATATTAATATTATATAATAATTTATAAATATAAAGTAGCTATATATATTTAACTTTTAATATAATTTTCTTTAATTCTTTTTTAAAATAATATTTTAATAAAAGTATTTTATTATACTTTACTTATATTTTATAATTTCCTTATAAGTTCTTTTTTAATAATAAATATTTTTTATAATACTTTATATTTTAATTATTAAAGTTTTATATAAGTTTTAATTATTAACTTATATATTTTATATAATATTTATATATATATATATTTTTAAAAAATATAACTTTAAAGCTTTTTTAATTAAGTTATTAATATTATATTACTTCTTTATTTTTAATATCTTTTATTATAATTATTATATAAAAAAGTATTATTTTCTTTATATTATAATAAGAAAGTTTTATACTTTTTATTTATTTATTTAGCTAAGTTTATTATATAAGTGTGGGAATAGTATGTATGGGCATTACGTGCAGCGTGCTCATGCAATGGGTGCGCTGCAGGCAATGCATAAATTATAAGGTTTAAATTAATTTTATTAATAGCAGCTACTAATTAATGCTAGCTAGCTATTAGCTAGTAATTATATGCTTTATATATAAATCATTATAGCTAGCTTATAATTAAATAAGGAAAGGCTATAGCTTTGCTATAACTTATTCTTTATATTATAGCTAAATTAATTATATACTTTATTTATTTATTATTAATTATATAAAAGCTAAATTAATATTAATTAATGCTTATTTAATAAGTATAAATAATTAAGTATTAAAAAAATAAATTTTATTTTTTAAAAGCTTATTTACTTATAATAATTTTATTAAAAGACTTTATATAATAATAATAATATTATAAGCCGCTAAAAAACTTAATTAAGCATTAAAAATTAATTTATAATAATAATATTTAATTTTTAATTATATTTATTAATATAAATTATTAATAATAATATTTAATTTTTAATTATATTTATTAATATAAATTATTAATAATAATAATTATAAAAAGCCTTAATTAAAAAGCTTTTTTTAATATACCCTTAAGTAATTATAACCTTTTTTAATTATTAAAAGCCTTTTTATAATATTTTTAATTATTAG